TGAAAAATGTTCTTGATAGGTTTACACTTGAAAAAATTTACATATCATTTGTTCGCCCAATTCTTGAATATGCCGATGTCGTTTGGGACTCTCAAAATCAGAATTTGATTGCTAAACTTGAAAATATTCAGCTTGACGCAGCGCGTATCGTCACGGGGGGTACTAAACTTACCAGTATAAACAATTTATATGTTGAAACTCGATGGGAAAAATTATCTGAAAGACGACGCAATCATAGATTAATTCATTATCACAAAATTTTGAATAATAAAACCCCAGAGTATTTAAGAGACTTATTGCCCGATTCAGTAGGAAGTAGGCATGATCATAATACAAGACAAAGAAATAATATTACACAAGTCAATACTCGGACCCGTTTATATTCTGAATATTTCATCCCAGCAACAACAAAACTATGGAACACTCTTAACTTAAACATAAGAAAATGTGAATCTCTATCATTATTCAAAAAACAAATTAGTACCCAAAATTGTAAGGTCCCAGCGTATTATTATATAGGACATCGTTTTGGTCAAATTCTTCATGCTCGCTTAAGAATGGATTCAAGTTCATTGAATTCTCACCTATTCGTTCGTAATTTGGTAGACTCTCCAAATTGTCGTTGTGGTGATGTAGAAACAAATTCTCACTTCCTGTTATCTTGTCCCATATACACTGATTTAAGACATGAACTATTAGATTCTGTTTCAGTTCTTCCTGTCCAAGTTAACACAAAAACTTTGCTTTTTGGATCAACGGTACTCTCGGATGAGCAAAATAGTCTTTTATTTAGTTTGGTGCAGAAATATATTATTAAAAGTAAACGTTTTAACCCTTGATGTTAATGCTTCATCATTCAATAGAAACCCAAGCATTTCACACCGTATAGATTACAATAATTCATGTTTATTTATTTTTTTTATTTTTTTTTTTTTTTTTTTTTTTTTTTTTTTTTTTTCTTTTCTCATTAATTATTTTTTTTTTTCTTCTTCTTCTTCTTCTTCTTCTTCTTTCACCTTTTTTCATATTGATATATTTATTACAGAGCATGCCAGTATTTATATTTATGTATTGTCCAATAAGTGTATTATTTTTTGTAAAAGGAGACAGATTTGTAAAAGCAAATTGCTTGTTTCTGAATCCTTAATATTATTTCATTTGTATAATATCGTTTAATGTTGATTTATCTGAATAAATATTGTTTAAACCAAAGTGATGAGAATAATAACATACTTATTCAATTTCATGCAATTAGGTTTTAATGCTAAAAGTTTTATAAGAGAGAGAGTTTAATGTCTGACCATGGAAGTATTATATTATACTTCCATGGTCTGACCAAGGAGGTTATATGACCTCCTTGGTCTGACTATTTAGATTAATTCTGCGAATTGTTTTTGTCTGCAAAAACATCATAGAGAGAGATAAAGAGAATGACATCCAATTGAATGTTTATTATTTAAAAACAAGACTAAATGTAATAGGAATAAAACGACTAATTATTTCACACTTTAAATTTGGTTCTCGAAAATTCGTCCGCAGACATTTTTGATATTGAATTTGTCATTGTTCTATATAGTTCCGTTTTAGTGATTATTTAGGGGCCGTCGGGATCGGTTTTATCATTCCAATTAAAAACGCATGTCTTAAACTCCCGGTTACGCTTGACCGCAGAGATAACACGTATTCGTTGATATTTAAAGTCTTACCGTGTCGACAACATCGGCGCATGTCAACTAATTAAATAGTTATTATACAAATATATTAAAAAATCAATACTTATTGGATTTTTTTTTTTTTTTTTTTTTTATCAAATACGGAAATGACATTATATAGCATGAAATCATATTTGATAAGTAATAATACACAATGACATGACATGATAAAATTTAGATTATACAAATCCTTGTTCAGATCCAGGGACACAGATGTCCGAATCATTAAGTATACACCACATTATGAAATAATATTAAATGAAATGGCCATCTTAGACCGGTACGTCTAAACACCGCTCAGGACCTCCTGAGTGCACTTAGGACATACAAAGTGCACTCAGGACATGAAATATATGTTTTGGTTAGTGGTGAAGGTATGCATTCGATAGATAATTTAATTTTTCATCTTATAATTATTGTTTTGATAAAATCAATTTATATTTAAAAAGTTATTAAGGTTTTCATCGGCACGCGCCGTTTTTATGAAATATGTCAGGCATGACCGATGATTACATTGAATACCAATTATCATGTTGATTAGGTCGTTTGATCTTTAATAATTAGGAGTGATTAGTGATGGTACTGACCTCATACAAGTAAGATTGGCAAACAAGTTCAAAAATTAAGAAGAATAATTCTTTCGTATTTTCATATCTCTAGATATATTACAATAGACTTTAATTGCATTGTTCCATAGTAAAAAAAAGAATCGGTGAAACACCATTTATAATTTACTTTCAAGCTAACAGTTAATCTGATCACTCACTAAAAATAGCAATGAATATAAAAAAAAAATATTGGTATCATTGCGTTCTAATTCTTATTTATATAATTGTGTGTGTGTGTTTTGTTCTATTTTCTTGTCTTTGAGATTCATTCAAATAATTAACACTTTTTGACCAATGAGAGGCTGTGTATGTATAACATAACGATTCAATCAAAATTTCATTTAGATTTATTCCCCTATTGTAACTCGTTCTTGTCCAGTAATAAATCCCTTGAACGAGTTTGAAAAGGGAAATAAATTTGTCATACTTTTCATGAATTAAGATTTAGTTTTGTAAATGGAACCCGTTCTTAACTGTAGAAGCCGTACTTGCCAAAATACGCTTTTCAAATAATCAAATCTCATATAGTTAGTGTTCTTTCTCATTTTTATCGTTCTTGTCCAGTAATTTCATTCTTGAGTAATACGAATGTTAAAAAAATCCGCATTTATTAGGATTTATCTTTCTCATTAAAGTTGTTCTTGTCTAGCTGTAATACAAGCCTTGAACGAATTCCAATGTGAAAATAAATTCTAAAAAATTAAATTGTCTCCGTTTTCTGAAAATTATCATATTTGGGTATTATTTCTAAATAATTTGTAAGTAAACGAAATCCGTTCGAACCACGACTAAGTCTTCGTGCACAGAGTTTGAAGTGCCAAAACCCCCAAAACTTGCTCGTAAGCCAAACCAAAGGAAAAGACCAAGACAGCACGTACGCAGCCAAGATATTAGACTTAGCAAATCATATAAATAAATACTGATCTGTCTTATTAAGGTTAAGTTCTAAATATTGTCATTGAAAATATAGGACCAGTTCATAATTTCAATAAATTTGTTATCTATATCAAGGCTGTGAAGATCTTGAATAAATTTTGAACATTCATGAAAAAGGTTATATCGAATATCGTCATAAAGTGTGCATTCCATAAGGAAATGTTTTTCAGTCTCTACACTGCAACTTTCACAAAACTTAATAACATCGTGTTATTCATTTTAAACGTAACACAGTACTAACAACACAATTCATAAACAACAATAAAGATAATCCAATCAATTTTGTTGATTGGATAATTCACGGCTCAGTATAGTTGTGTAATTAGTGACACGTGCCCTCATTATTTCATAAGAATTAACATATCTATCTAAGTTCGATTTCAAGTTGTACCAAAATTTAACTCTTAAATAAGCAGCGTGTAACAAATATATCCATCCATCCTGTGTGCAAATACGATGACTATAAAGGGTCCTGAGTGCACATTGTATGTCCTGAGTGCACTCAGGAGGTCCTGAGCGGTGTTTAGACGTACCCATCTTAGACGTTTTGTTTATCTAAAAGGGCTTTCCTTTGTCTCTTTCGGGTATTTTCTATGGGCCGGGAAATTCTCAAAACTTCATTATCCCGTCGAAAATACTAAAAAAAGTCCTAAGTCTTATAATGGGAATTTTTAAAAAGTATTATTTGCAATGTTGTATTTACGATGCACGTTTTTTTTCATATAGATATATACATAATAACTCTAAATATTAGAACAACAATGTTAAATCTGTAAATTTTCTCCGCCTGGATTGATGGGTGCGTAATGTCCAGTGGCAAATATTTCATACATTCTGAACGAAAACAAATGATCAAAAAATTAGATAAGGTTACAAATTAAGGCAGATCCAAAAGGGGGGGGGGGGGGGGGGTTCTGGGGTTGGAACACCCTTTTTTTTACGATCAATGCTTTTGAATGGGGACATATGGTTTGAACCACCCCTTCAGTTTATCATGGGTTAAGAACCCCCTTTTTAAAAATGGTCGATCCGCCCCTCTTTGAAATGTAACAATTTATAAATAATTTTTTTATCTTATTAAATATTAAGTTGAATTATAAAAATCGATGAGTTTTATAATTTGACAACACTCATTGATACATGTATCGGAAATACACTAAAAGATATACGAAAATTAATTTATTTACGACATTGAATGTTAAGTAAAATTGCCGACCAATCCTTATACATTTTAATTTTCATATATCCATTTTAAATGCCATTCTTAATAAAATGGATTTACGAATCGTGTGTTAAGTGCTGATCGTTCATTCGTCAATGAATCATTCACCGTGCGTGTATCGTGCGTTCATCATTCATCATTCACCGTGCGTGTATCGTGCGTTCATCATTCATCATTCACCGTGCGTGTATCGTGGATTCATCATTCATCATTAATTTTTCGTTAATCCTCCGTGTAACGCTCATCGCTCATCGTGCGTGAATCATGGATCGTGCATTCACCGTGCGTGTATCGTCCGTGCGTGTATCGTCCGTGTGGTCAGCTTGACTTTTAGAAGGTCTGTAGTCAGGTCCCGGTAAAGTAAGGTGAAAATTTAAAAAATGTACTGTAATTCAAAACATCTACGTGCATCTAACTCTTTATCTTTGATAAGCTTTGAATTTCTAAAATTATACACGGAACTATATGACCATTGATTATCTTTTTATAGGAGGAAGATTATAAATATTACAAGTTCACGCAATCGATTGACTAGTTTCTATCCCCCATCGTTGTAGTGTCCCTGAAAATGACAACCGATACGAGCGAAAGATTTGAGAAGAAAATTGTAAATAATAATGGTAAAAAATTATACTGTCGTTACTGGAACGAAGAACAACAAGCAGACAATAGTTCAACTAGGTAATGTGCTCATTTAGAATGAAAGTAGTGAAGAAGACGTAGATTCATTTTAACTTTTACCAGAGACATATAATACAAGAGATTCGCAACTCGGCGAAATCCCGTAATAACACGCGGCCACTAGTTAAACCTCGCGAGATCTCCTTAGGTAATAAAGTCATTAATAAAAGTATTAAAAGTACTCGAAGTAAGGACGAATGTTTAAGCATAACATAAACTGTTTCAGTGTTAAATTTATCATAATTAATTAGATATAATTTGAGTACATATATAATTATTTATTTTAATGTAATTTTGATTTTAGATTTGTATTATTGAAAAAGAGACATAATTTGATATTGTATATAAAAAAAAACTGATATTAAATAATTAACACTTGATAAATTGTGTCAGAGTTCATTTTATTTGATAGTTACATAATGGGTTTCTATTGAATATACACCTGTCTCGGAGACATAATTTCACAGTGTGACATGTATATTAGGTTTGAATTATTCGATGACCAGGTAAATCACGAACATGTTATAAATAATGAGTTTTAATTGACACCTTGTAAACAAGAAGTTGTCACACCACAGGTGTCCACACTCTTTCCAAAAATACAATTCACAAAATGTATAATTAATTAATATGGAAAAAAACTTAATTTATTTGTTAATTAATTGTTAATCATGATAGGCTTTGTTTTTTATTCTTGATATTTATAAATTATTAAAATTTTATTTATTTTTATATTCCTCATTTATTGGGCTTTCATTGAGTTTTTTTTCTGTAGGATTGTCGGTAAATGTTTGATTTCTAAGTGTTGTTTGACAGTTTTATCAAAAAGGCTTGCATTGAGTTGTTTTTTTAAATGATTGTCGGTAAATTTATGGTTTCTTCATGTTCGAAGTGTGTATTGAGAATTAATATTTAAGAAAATTACAATTAATTTCTCATTTGAATAAAGCTTCATTCATGTGCACGCAATATGGAAAATTCCGATTTTATTTCGTGGGATGACAATCTTAATTTCGTGGGATGACAATCTTAATATTACGACTTAGATATACTCCTAGTTGAATAAACTGATAACGAACTCTTTGTTGATAGTGAAAAGGACGAAAACATAAGCGAGAGACCCACCAACAAAAACAATTGACAATACTGCATACATAGATGGATATGTGTGTCCTCGAAGCAACAAAACATCTATAAAAAAACACAGGTCATACATCAAAGCAACACGGAAGACACTATTTAAAAAGTATTTTATAACCTTGTTTCCACGAGACAATCATTTGTAGTGGTTTTTGTCTTTTAATCATTTGTAGCGGTTTTTGTCTTTTTATTCTCGGGTAAAGAGATGGCAATTTAAAAGTAAGATTGTTTATGTGTATACATATACAAATCCTTAGTGTAAATAAAATCTTTTATTATCAAATATATATATATATATATATATATAAAAGTCTAAATTGAAAACAACGTTCAAACCTATGATTGCGTTGGATAAAAACCGCAATTTTTATACGTGTGCATGTAAAACAAATTTCTTGGTAGAGGGGTCTAAATAAAGCACAAACAACAATTTCCAAAAGACCAAAAAAAGTGAAAAAGTCTATTTTAACAAAACGCATTTGACTAACAGGTCGAACAACTGATGTTCTTAAACCCTGCTGACTGCCATTGGCGATTGCCAAATAAATTGATCACCAGATCTAACAAAATGGATCTTAATATTAATTAAATACCAAACAGAAAACAATAAACTTATGGAAAAGATGATATACCACAAACATATATATATATATCTTTTGCAGTCACCATTGAAATTAATGTCCTCAATACGATTTTAATTTAAAAATGAATTAGGTTCATGTTTTGAACGAGAAGCGTAGTCTGAAACGACAGCAGATGCATATGAAGCTCATTCATAATATTACGACCAGCAGAAGGTTTTCTTTACTAGGAAAATTTTACTCCTTTTGTAAATTTACTGCATTCGTTCATCTTTGGCACCCTAAAAAGAAGAAAAAAAAAACAATAACTTCAGAATAGGAGAAAATAAACAACTTTGCTATAAACAGAATGAAAAATGAATAAAATGTCTAACAAAATGCAGGCTATAAATTTCATAGTGCACAAAAAAGAAGGACTGATTTAAGGAAATTTGTCCATGAACAATTTCAATATTTAGCCAGTTTAATAAAAAATTTCGGGTATCAATCAGAAAAAATCGCCACATTGTTGTTTCAAATTTTACGAAAATAGTCTTATTTTCAGTCACGAAACAACATTTGGGAGTACTATTGGCCCATAAAATTATATATTTATTAGCATATTTTCAAGTTTTAAGAAAACAATTGGGAGATCAAATGGTTTCTACGGCAATAGGTGAAGTAAAATGGGCCGAGTTTTAACTTTGTTTGTATTTGATTAATCTCATCATTAGAACACATCTTATCAATAAAAAATTATTAGAATAAGTTTTTTGTAACTTTTAAATATACTTGCATGCTTTAGCTGTGAAAGGTATCGGCATTATCCATTAGAAAAATCGTGAGGCGTAGAACCTTTTACACAACAATACGGGTTATTACCCATAAATCCATCGGATTAATCGGCTTTCCGGTGGCCACGTCATTTCATTGGCTGTTATATAGACTCTACTAGAGTTGCGAATCTCTTGTATTATATGTCTCTGCTTTTACTTTACTTTAGTCTGTACTGTTCCGCCTATATCAGACGACCCACTTTTCAGTGAGATTTCTAATCCAATACACTATAATATTTACGTTTTTACACATTACCACCACGCCTATTTACACACGAGAATATGTACATCCAATGATATATACACGTACGAAACTGGGACTCATTTCATTTGACCTGTTAAAGTTCATTATTAAGCTCCATTTCGAATTAACACTGTCCCTGATGAACACTTTATATTCCTTATCACACTGAAGAGTATATGTATTACACACTAGTTTGGATTTGATGCAGGCATGCAATGTGGAGTAAGGTTCAGATCAACAAGTATTCCAAATAGGATGAATGCTTCCAAATTCTGCATCTTTGAGGTTCAAGAGACATGAGAGATTAAGAGATGATTTGATAACAATCAGGTTTTCTGTAATTGCTGTTTCGGCTGATATTGCTTGATCTGTACATGTATTGGTAATAGTTCATTGAAGCAACTGCTTTTTTCACAGCAGGATGAATGCAAATAGTTTAACTCCTGCAGCCCATCCATGGCTGATTTCAAGGCTTCCACAGATTTGATTCAGACCACTTCCTGTTTTACATTGTAAAATATGTAGATGATTCCAGTATTCTATTAGTGTGTGTTTCCTCTAGTAACAGTTAGGCTTTTAGAGTTTTTACACATTTAACTGTCACAAAGGTTTGATGTGTCACAGTTTTTGAATGTTTTAAGTTTTACTTCATTTTCTAGGTCTTTGCAATTGTTTATTGACAAATTGATCTGCTAGAACCACCTTGCACAACATCACCAGTCTGAGTCTTAAGTATTTTCTTCTACTTTCAACATGTTCAAGCATTGTCAAGCATGTCAAGTGTGGGTGGTTTTACATGTTAAACCTCCACTGCCATTGTGTTGATACATTTTACATCCTTCATCTCTGCTTTGTATTTTTTTGTAATAATCTGGAGGCCCAGGTATGAATTGTTGTGCACTCCTCCAAGATAAGGTTGTCCAAGGTGTTATAGTTTGAGGTTTTCTGGCTATGCTCTATATCTGTTATCTTCAAAATACTGCTCATTTACAAGCCTCCTGCAGGTAATTTTGAAGGCTTTGTGCAGTTACTTAACATCTGTGCACAGTAGATTCCTTTGCTTAGTTGTTGAGATGACAGGTTGAACTAAAAAAAAATTGTTTAGGCATGTTTTGAACTCCCAAAACTTGAGAATTTAAGGGATTGCAAAAAAAATTTACTTGTAAAATTTTTGGAAAAGATTACACATGGATTAAAGGGAGATTATTCAAACCTTGAAAATAAAATGAAAATCTTCAAATTTACTTATCATGCTTATATACAAGTAAATATTACTTACATCTTGAAATAAATAAACATGACTTGTATGAGTATTACATGCCCCTGACCATGCTGACCATGTGACTGACTTATGGAGGAGTTTTTGGACTTTGACAATTTTCAGCTTTTGTAGCATAATGATATCTTGGTACTGCTATATGTGAGAGATACCAACTAATTTGAGCCTGTTGTTACAAAATATGCAATGTCACTTCCTCAAACAAGATATTTGTTTCTGCCTAGGTAATTCTTTTATGTAGACATGGTAGAGTAGGGCTTAGATATTCATGATATTTCTTATATTGTATATGATCAAACATATTTATTAAATGACATGTTTACCTTGTAGGGGACTTGTATTCATTTGTCATGGAGCAGCAGAACATTGCCTATATTACACAGAACTTGCCATGTACTTGATAGAAAATGGATTCTATGTTTTTGCACATGATCATGGTAAACTTTAACTGTTCAGTTATAAGACCCCGTACTGGGGAAGCTAAAGCAGACTGATGGATTATACATTGTCTGTCAGCCTATTTAAATTTTTTCTGTTATCATGTTCTTGCTGGCGCAACACCCAAAGAAAACTTGTTATAGGTTTCGTTTTCTACACTAACATGACTAACTCACCTCAAAAACTTATTTACATATATCCAGGCTTGAATCATATCACAATTGATAATTAAAAAAGAGGCAGAAGATACCACAGTGAAAATCAAAGCTCACAAGGTGAAGCGTGATCGATAAAATCATGGCAAAAAATGAAAAACAACAAAAAAAGAAACATAAAATTGAGAATGGAAACGGGGAATGTGTCAAAGAGACAACAACCCGATCATAGAGCAGACAACAGCCGAAGGCCACCAATGGGTCTTCAATGCAACGAGATACTCCTGTACCCGGAGGCGTCCTTCAGCCGGCCCCCAAACAAACGTATACCAGTCCAGCGACAACGGACGCCACACCAAACTCCAAATTATACACAAGAAACTAAAATTAAAAATAATACAAGACTAACAAAGGTAGTCTACAAAACACTAAATAATAAATAAAGTCTGAGCAAAGGAACCACACAAAAAGTATTGGGATGATCTCAGGTGCTCAGGAAGGGTAAGCACATCTGAAATTACATTCTGTTACAAAATGTTCTCAGAACAAAATGGAGGCCTTGTACATAAATGATATAGATTTTGAATCCTTTGTGAGTTTCTTCCTTTCTGGCAAAAATCTGTAAGACAATTCATTAATTCAAACCTGGCCCAAATAACACAAGATTTGATTCTGTCTTTTTTCTAAAGTTATTTGTAAAATCTTTCATTATTTTAAATATTTCTTTGATTATATGCTTATTGTTAAATTAACATGATCAATGTCTGTATTAATAACAATTCTAGTTTGATATTTAGTATCTTTTGAAAAAGCGTTAAATAACTTTATAAAACTGAAGATGTCTTAATTACATTAATTTATGAAACAATATTTGGGTTTTAACTTCTTACAGTTTTTACTTTGACTATTTGTTACAGTTGGTCATGGACAGAGTGAAGGAGATAGAGTTCATGTAGAGACTTTTGACACATATGTAAATGATGTATTCCAGCATGTGGATGAAGTGAAGAAAAACTTTCCTGACAATACTCCTATCTTTATTATTGGTCATTCTATGGTAATTATTAACTATATACTCAGTATAAATTACCAAAATGGCCAGATCTAGTAAAAAGATTTTTAGCAAATGTGTATTTATCACCTGATTGGTTACTCATGTGTTACTAGTATATTTTTCTTCAGACATGCATCTAGATATTGAAATTCCATATACAAAACCCATAGCACTTTAAGATTTGTAGTTTGATCTCATGGGCAATCACAACGTTGATTTTTATGTTCCCGCTGTGGTGGAGGGGGCATTTAGCGTAACCCTTGTCTGTCCGTCTGTCTTATACGTCCATATGTCGGTACTTCCCAAAATAAGTTTCTGTTCCCTAACTTTAGTTTGCCTCAACCAATTGTTATGGAACTTGTACATAATGCTTATTAACACAAAACACAGATCAAGTTCGAATTTGAACATTCTTGAGTTATGTCTCTTTATAACTTTATATAAAAGCAGGGCTTCATTTATTAATATCTAAAACTTAGCAGTCTAATCTATTGTATTAAAATTTCAATTTTCTCGTTTCCTTTATTCTGTATAATAATATTTATTTATTAAAGCTTGAAGCTTACAATTCAAAATAAATAACAAGTCATGTGATGAGGGAAAAATAATCACATCAAAGAAAAATCTATCTTATTTTAAGTATATTCTCTATCATAACACATCATTAATTCATCTTTTTCCTTTTTATGTAGGGAGGGACCATTTCTGTTTTATGTGGACTAGAGAGACCAGATTACTTTAATGGTGTAATATTAATTGGCCCAGCACTCATTCCAAGTCCTGATGCAGCATCTCCAGTTAAGGTGAGTATTTTTGAAGATTAAGGCATTTGAGGATGTCTGTGGTTCTGATTATTTTAAGGATCTACTATCGATTATACAAGTAATTTCAAAGAATTCAATGATGCAACATAATTGTCTGGAGTTTTTGGTAATGTTTATTAAGAAACGTACCATTTATCTACATTGTCTTCATTAAACAGTTCATTGAGAAAGACAACTAGTGTAGCATATATGTCAAATTTGGTTTGATAATGCCCCATTATATGAAGAAGACCCTTTTATTTTTATGTCATTTGGTCAAAATTCAAAAGTCAAGGTCACAATAACAATTGATAGACTGAAATAAGAGAAAAGTTTGATTTAAAGATGATATCTTTTTAACCATTTGTCCAACATTCACCAAACTGGCATGTAGCTTGTGAATGGTTTTGAAAAAAGAAACAAGACCCTTATTGATTTTTTGTTAGTAGGTCAAAGATAAAAGTTTCATTTACTGGACAATATTATTTAGCAATAACTCATATCTTTACCAATCTCAGCATTTGTCTTATTTTTGTTAATTGGTCAGTGATGGTCACAATATTTAACATATTACCCACACCCACTCCCTCTCCCCCCAAATTATAAGACCACAAAAAAGTTGAAAAAAGTTGTGTTGTGTTCTGCATTTAACATCTGCCATTATTTTTCATCTCAAAAATTTTATCTGCATTATTCTTTTCAGATTTTCTTAGGCAAAATAGCAGCTAAAGTCCTTCCACAACTTTGTGTCATAAAGCTTGATTCAAAAGACTTGTCAAGAGATTCTGCTGTGGTAAACTCACCATGTTGTACATATTCAACTAATCTGACTGATATTTGCTTTATTACTGTAAACCAACTTATTTTCATGAAATTTGCGAGTAGAAAAAATAATGCGAATATTAATCTTCACAATTATGTCAAATTAGATCTTTTATTATATTAATACACTAACAAAGTTAAAAAATTGTGAAAAATCAATTGCTGCGAAATCGACTAGAATGGAATCAATGCGAAAAAAATATCCATGAAAATAGTTGGTTTACAGTATTACTAACTTGCTTTTCAAAAGCTAGTTGTTGCTTTAGATTTTCGTTGTTGTTGATTTTGGCTAAGAATATATAAGTGTTTCGTGCTTCATTAAGATTGGAATAAAAGTAACTTTTTGTAAGTGTATTGAGATAGATATGTTTACATAATTAAAAGTCAAATACTTGTAAAAAAAAATCAATCTCTTTCTGAAATAGATGTTCCAAAGGGCCAGAATCTCTTACATGTCAATTCTTTACCATGAATGCATGGGGATCATTCAAGTCAGCTCATCGGAGATTTAAAATGTAAAATTTCAAAGGAAAAATCTTTTTAATGTACAGTGTAATAGTCATTAAAATTTATCAATTCTTTTATAGTGCTTAATCTCATTATTTGAAAGTTATGATGTCATGATAGTAAAATTAATTATATTTATCTTCTAACTTGCTTCATAATTTTTATTCAGATTTTCTTAGACCATAAAAATAGCTATACTGCTTCCACAACTTTGTGTTATATTAACAATTAATTCAAATATCAAGGAATTCACTTATGATATTAGAGAAGATATTGCATTTTTATAAAATTTTGCGGTCGTATATTGGTATGACGTTGGCGTCGTCGTCATCATCGTCCGAAGACACATTGGTTTTCGCACTCTAACTTTAGTTTAAGTGAATGGATCTCTATGAAATTTTACCGTAAGGTTCAATACCACAAAAGGAAGGTTGGGATTGATTTTGGGGGTTATGGTACCAACAGTTAAGGAATTAGGGGCCAAAAAAGGGGCCAAAAATAAGCATTTTTGTAACTTCCAGACATAACTTGTGTGTTAGTGTTTGGATCTCTCTGACATTGTACCACAAGGTTCCATATCACAAAGGGAATGCTGGGATTGATTTTGGGGGTAATTGCCTCAAAATTTTAGGAAGTAGGGGCCAAAAAAGGGGCAAAAAACAAGCATTTTTCTAGTTTCATGATAATAACTTGTGTGTAAGTGTATGGATCTTTCTGAAATTGTACTACAAGGTTCCATATCACAAAGGAGAAAGCTGGAGTTGAGTTTGGGGGTAATTGCCTCAAAATTTTAGGAAGTAGGGGCCAAAAAGGGGCAAAAAACAAGCATTTTTCTAGTTTCAGGACAATAACTTGTGTGTAAGTGTAAAGATCTTTATGAAATTGTACTACAAGGTTCCATATCACAAAGGGAAAGCTGGGTTTGAGTTTGGGGGTAATTGCCCTAAATGTTTAGGAATTTGGGGCCTAAAAACAAGCATGTTTCTAGTTTCCAGACAATAACTTGTGTTCAAGTGTATGGATCTCTCTGAAATTGTACTGCAAGGTACCATACCACAAAGGGAAGGCTGGGATTGAGTTTGGGGGTGATGAATCATAAGGGGTTCAAAAAATGTGGGGAAGGGATTTTTTTTTTCTTTAAAATTTTCCATTTTAAATTGGTTATTTCTGATTTATATATAAAAGCAAATAATAATGATATGGTTTGAATAGGTAAATTTAAAATTTTTAAGTTCTTAGACCACATTCATTCTGTGTCAGAAACCTATGCTGTGTCAAATATTTAATCACAATCCAAATTCAGTGCTGTATCAAGCTTGAATGTTGTGTCCATACTTGCCCCAACTGTTCAGGGTTTGACCTCTGCGGTCGTATCAAGCTGCGCCCATCGAGCATTTTATTATATCTGTATTTCTGGGTGTTTGTAACATGTACTTTATGTTATATTTATAAGTAATATGCATGTTTAATATTAATGTCTTTCTCTTGCACTTACTTTTCATGTTGTTTTATTAAATTTCTTTATTATACTAACATTTTTGTTTAAGCACTGTTGTTTGAGGTAACTTCAAAGTGGAATAATCAACTGTATAGAAGGTAAAATGTACCTAATATCTTTATAAATTCATGTTAATATTAATTTTTTTTAGACATATTTTGATTACTAGGAACTGCTGTAAAAAATGTGCATTGAAATATGCATTTGATTAGGAAATAAGGTTCTGACCTACTTAAAATCATGTGGTGCAACATGATTTGAAAAAAAAGCAATAACAAGACAGATCAAACTTGCTCCTTTAATTCCGAAACTATAATAGAAGTCTCAATTTAACATGTTAAATGTGAAAATAAAGAGATGTAGTACTTTAAAGGCCTGTCATGAATTGAATAAGACAGCCCAGCTAGGCGTAATAAGTTTTATTATGATAGATTACTCTGGAATAGAAAAATAATAAAAAATTGTTACAGAGTGTCATTTTACAATGCAAGTTGAGTATGTTTTGTTATATATTGGTTTAAAGGTATAGGTAAAAAAAAATTGAGACAAGTGCCTGTGCTTGTCTTACCAAATAGGATATTTTTGAAAAACGATTGAATGAACTCACCATATCTTTTTTTTTCTAGATATAAAACTCTGAATAAGATTTAGAAAATATATGTGCTAGTGAAATTAGTTGCATTTATGTCTAGAATACTATTTTCAACATTTTGCAGTTACTCTTTACTGTTCAGCCATTATTAATTTGAGGTCTATAGATAGTCAATAATCATTTTATCAAAAATCTAAATTTTATATGTGGTATTTGATAATGTATCATTTCTTTTTTGAGTTGTGAACAGAATACTTGATTTGAGTTGATGTTGATCATTTCCGTCACTTGACTTCATTTCGCTATATTTTACGTCTGTCCGAGAACTTTTACTATTAGACCTCAAAAACATCATTTAATTACTTGAACAAAATTCAGAAATTAATCGTCATAATTCATATTATTTATAAATAAAGTTATGCAACCAAACATCATTAAAAAAAAAAGATTTTTAATAATTTCATTTTGAAGATTTATAGACTCAAAGTATGCACTCTCTTGTATTTCTACATGATTATGGTTTTATTGTATATTAACAATTAATGAGAAATATCCACAGGACACTATTTTTCTTAAAATTATATTTCATTGAGTAACAAAAATATGTATAAAATCATTATTTATTTTATTTCATATAACAATTTGCTGTTATTTTTATCTGTGTACAATAACATTCACAGTTATATTTCTGTCTTGTTAAAATTCATTGTGATAGTCATTATGATATTTGAAATTGCCATCTGTTGATATTTAAAAAATAAAAAACGTTTATTAATGGATTTGAATTTCAGAATACTTATTTCAAAATTTGTTCTTGTTATCTTTATTTTTCTTATTTGTTATAAAACGTGAGTTATTTTTTAAAGTATAAAGGAAAGCAATGTGTAAATTTGCTGTCCATTTTGTTTAGGTTAAAAAATATGATGATGATCCATTGGTCTGGCATCATGGTCTGAAGGCAAGGTAAATATTGAATAAATTGTAAAGGTCAAATTTATGGCTTTGGTCTTCTTTGACCACTTTTTAAGTGAGAAATTAAATTTGATTCTCACATTATTTTGCCTATGTCAAATAACTACAAAGTTTTGACAGAGCTTTCTATAATGATTAATGTCATTAACTTTGTTGTGATAATGCGAAGCCAAACATATGTAAAGACTTGCTGGTTTTGGAGTAAATCATTGTGAATCAGGATGATTGTTGGTGACAGGAAGTAATAACATACTGATTTATGTATATATTTCAGAGTGCATCACCCACAATCCCCAGTATGCAGTGTGAAATTGACCCCACTTCTCAACTCCTTGAGTGATTATTAACTGAATCACTGTGTTTGTAATGCACAATGTCATAATTATACCCCATGGAATAAAGTTCTTTAGTGTATAAAGTTTTTGACCCATCTGTCCGCCTGTCTGTCTATCTGTCCATCCATCCGTCAGTCAGTCCTGTTCTTGTCATTGCAACTTCTCTGAAACAAAACAACAGAATTTCATGAAACTTTGTTGATAATAAGGACATACTATGTAGATGTGCATATCAACAGGAAATTATGATTCAACTTTTTTTCTAGGAGTTATGCCCCTTTGAACTTAGAATTTTGGCCTAAATATACTGTGCCAAAAGTTTGTCATCGCAACTCCTCTAAAACCAAACAAAAGAATTTAATGAAACTTTGTAGATAAATAGGACATACTATGTAGATGTGCATATCAACAGGACATTATGATTCAACTTTTTTTCTAGGAGTTATGCCCCTTTGAACTTAGAATTTTGACCTAAATATACTACTGCAATAGTTTTTCATTGCAATTCCTCTGAAACCACTCAACCGAATTTGAACAGAAACTTTGTAGATAATAAGGATGTCATAATATGTAGATGTGCATATCCTCAAGAAATTTTTATCAGTTGACTTTAGTAAGAGTTATGAGTCTTTGAACTTAGGAATCTGGTGAGATTTTGTTTGCCCTGTGACAATGTGGAGGCCTGGTGTATGCGAGCGTGCTCACAAAGGTTCTTTAATTTTCCTATATTATAAGTTACATTGTGATTACCAAGTTTAGGTGTAAAAATATTAAATTGGACTTCTGAAGTTTTCATGGTTATTAAGCAATAAATAAAGTGTAATTGTTAATTGAAGGCAGACAACTTAAAGTTGATCATGTAATTACATGTATAGTATATATATGTATTGTAAATTCAGAAATGAATGCATGTATTGATAATTGCAAATCCTTGACCACTGTCAAAAATGTGAAATCTAATTAATGCGATTGAAAAATGTTTTTGAAGAATAATCACTACTGAAATAATAAATGCGAGTTTTATTATTACGAACTTGATACTGATTCATTTTTCGCATTAATAAAGACATCCCAATAATTTCCCAATCTACAGAACATGAACTGTTTTAACTTGTAGTATAAAGATAAAAATGTGTTATGATTGCCAATGAGTCAACTCTCAGTCAGAGACCAAATGATGTAGAAGATAGTAACTATAGGTCACCATACGGCCTTCAACAATGAGTAAAACCCATATCTCATTTAGATATATATAATTAAATAGCTGCATCAGAACACCTTTGTTTCTCTCTAAATCTATAGATGAAGCTGATATCTAGTAAACACTAATAAATTATCGAATACTGTAAATTCAGAAATTATTGTGTGCATTTATTATTGCGGTTTTTATCATTTTAGACCAAAATGCAATTATCATTTTTGCGATACTAAGAAAAATTCCGCTTCATTCATATAAAAAAATCCAAAATGTGAGTTTAAATTATTACGATCACAACCCTGTCTCATTTTTCGCAATAATAAAAACATCAAAATAATTTCCAAATTGACAGTAATATTAATAGATAATGCTTTTACTGATTACTTGTGTTGTAGATGGGGAGTCAGCTTCTTAAAAGCTATGGACACAATTAAGGAAAAACAATCTACGATCGAGGGGCCCTTCCTTACACTTCATGGTGATGAGGACAAACTTTGTGACGTAGAAGGTTCCAAAAAGTTTTATGCACTTGCTAAAAGTACAGATAAAGAAATTAAGGTATGGTAGAAATAAAATATTTCAGTTTATAAATTGACTTATAATAAGTCAATGGTATTTGGTATGCAGTTGTATTAGCATTGGCACATCTCATTTCCATGGAGATTGTTTAACCATGTACCTTCAGTCATGGTTCATCGACTTTGAATATTTGCATAACTTACATGTTAAAAGTATTGCTATTTTAATTATCAAAATTACAAAAAGGCGAGACATATCTCTGTGATAACAGTTTATTTACTTGGGGAGTTACAACCTGCGGTTAAGGATGTATGCACCTCTTGTTTTTGAATTTTTTTGCCAGACATTCAGAATCCTCTAGTTTTATCCATGTAGTGCCATTAAAAATCTTTACCCACTTACCCCTACATTTCTTTACATAATTTGATTACATATAGTTTAAAATGTCATCTATGAAAATCTTATAAAATCCTTGTTATTTTTTCATAGTTTTTGAAAGAAAAACGGTACCAATGTTAAATGTATGAAAAATCTAGATAGAATCATTTCCCGCCAAATTTTCAATGGCTTATATCTCGAAAACAAGCACACAGACTCTTCATTTTTTTTCTGCTTTTTAAGGTCCTTTATTTATATACTATCAATTTATTACAGTCTTTTTAAAAGCTTGTTATTTTGTGTGGAAATTTTTTAGCTAAAATTTTCTCAAAAGTTTACATAGTAATTAGTAGCTAATTTCAAAGCATTGCCCAAGACAGATGATAATAAACAATTGTTTACATTTATTAGTTTATAACTGATTGTATGAAATATTTCACCAAGCTGTCCGCACACGTTACCCTGGTGCTATCCAAAAATCCTGGGGAGAACACTGGTTTATGACAGCACAAGGATAGTTGTAAACATATAGTTATAACCATACTTCACTTGTACATTGATGAAATCAATTATTTTCTACTTTATGTTTTAATTTGAGTTATTGCTCTTTGTCAGTTCTGAAAATTGCTAATATAAAACAGACATCAAATTTCCTGCCATTATTGAAATCAAACTTGACACTATTACTATCCACTAATCCTAGGTCAGCATACAAACGTTTCATAACTGACTTGTGTACCTTTATTACAGTTATTGAATATAAAAAGTGAGAAATTGGATAAGGGTGAAAAATTACTAATTCTGTAAATATTTGACTTGGTAATATAATTATTGCTTGGAAGACTATTTTAAATTTTGTGAGAGAATGAGATCATTTGAATAAGGGCTATTCCATTAAAATGTATGTGGGAGGGTAGGAAGTGAAGTTTAATTATTGAATATGGGTCATTGGTCTTTTTTCAGTATGCGTCTATAACCATTATGCAAAATTATCTAAAAATTGGTTCTTGGTTGTAGGGATATTTTGAAAGTCCATTCCTACCCTCCAACATACATTTTAATGGAATAGCCCTAAATGGGGATCTTCTAAATATTTGCAGATATTGTTAAAAAAATATCACCTAAGGGTGTATATTTTGATCTTTGTTTTTATTTCATATTTTCATTTTAGGTATACAAAGGACATTATCATCAGCTGCACAACGAATTAGAAGAAGACAAAAAAGTGGTATTGGAAGACATAAAGAACTGGTTGATAAAAAGATCGTAATTTATTTGAATGAAATATAATTACCATTTCAAATTTTTGGTCTGAATATGAAATGAAATAGAGTAACTAGCATAAATTATGTAAAAACATAGGAATATGATATAATGCTAGAATTTAAAACATTATTTAACAGAGGAATATTTGTAAATATTTAAGTTTACATTTTTTTATTAATTTATATTATCTAATCTTCACATTCCATCATATGTTTTTTGATGATTTTAATTTGAACTTTTTTTGTAACGGGTCCAAATTATACAATTATATTTTATTTGTATTTATTACAAGAGAGAAATATATCACAAACATTTATGCATATAAATTGAATATGGGTCTGTTTTTATTAATTTATTTTTGTATATTATTTCTCACAAACGACTGTTTTATTACGCCTGACATAGATGGGACGTATTATGGTATATTGATGCCCGTCCCTATGTTTCTCTGTATGTCTTTTCTTCCACATATATAAAAAATCTAATGAAGGCTTTGATCAAGTTTCATGAAACTTGTATGGAATATTTTAATTGTTGAAGATAGCTCCCTTTATATTCATTTTTTTTTTTTTGCTTCATAGTTCTAGGGTTATGGGACTTCATCTGTCAGAATTAAGTAAATTTTTCACATATCACACACCAATTCTGAGTATGAGGATGCTCAGATTTTATTTGTTTGTCTTTCCAGAGGTATGGAATTTTAACAGCCAGATTAAAGGCAATGTTACGCAATAGCTTAAGTGTGCTTGGATAAATTTTCTTTAAACTTTACACCATGGTTGGGATTGGTGCTCCCATTAAATTTAAAAAAATGTGTATATACTTTTCCTGAGTTATGAAACTTTGACCATCAATATTGAAGGCTATTTAAAAAACCTAAGGGCATAGCATCTAGTTTTTATATTCCATTAAATCAGATATACTTTGAAGAATTTCTTTTCATTATCATTGAGTGTCAAAGAGTAGCACTCAGGGGCGAAATAGTGGTGGTAGAGGGGGCAAGGGGGCAGTTGCCTTCCCTCTTTTTGGCAAGGAAAAAAATGTTGAAAATTTTGTTTGTGTGTTAGTTTCAGAAGTTTACACCCTTTTCAGTCTACTCCTACACCACCTCCACTATATTTACTGTAATACCTTCCTACAAAAATGTAGTTTTTGTACATTATTAATAATTGATATAGAAAAACATTAGCATACGCCTCCCATGTTTTGTTTATATAGTGATTTTAATAAATTGTAAACAAGATGACTGTATTATATATAAACATGAAAGTTACATTATCAATCATGTTTAAAATTTATGACACTATTTTTTTAGTTAATATTTTTGTTGTTAATAATTATTAATTAGATATAGCTCTTTAGTATATTTGTTTTTCAAAACTTGTTTATTAATTAATAGCTAGAAATTACTAAATAACATAATTACATAATCTTGTAGTTTTGTATTTAATATTTTTTACTAGGGGAAAAACTTGTCTTTTGTTTAAAGAAAGAAAAACACTTAGAAATAAGAAATGATTTTAAAGATGAAGTTAAAGTAATACAAGTTTCGTACAAAGTTGTAATTTTTCCAAGCTTCTTGATTGATTAGACATATCCTCAAGTATGCATGAATATTTTGGAAAAACTTTGCTCATTCTTGTTGTAATAGTACACATTTTTTATCTTGTGTATATGTATCATGCAAAATTTTTGTAACATAATGCATATTTTGAACTTAAGGATCTTTGCTTCTCTGTTTCAAAATAACAAGCTTTTTCAAAGACTTTTATAAATTGAAAGTATATAAATAAGGGAACTTAAAAAGCAGAAAAAAATGTCTGAGTCCTTGTTTTGGGGATATAAACAATTGAAAATTTGGCGGGAAATGATTATCTCTAGATTTTTTGTACATTTAACACTGGTACTGTTTTTCTTTCAAAAACTATGAAAAAATAAGGATTTTATAAGATTTTCAAAAATGGCTTTTTTTAACAATGTGTAATAAAATTATGATAAGAAAAGTAGGGGTAAGCAGGCAAAAATTTTAATGGCACTACATGGATAAAACTAGAGGATTCCGAATATCTGACAAAAAGTCAAAAACAAGAGTGTCGAACATCCTTAAATACTATTTCTCTTAAAAACCACTCAAATTTTACATATGACATTTCTAATTGTGAATGGATGCGGGTATTTTTATTGTTACTTTCATGTTGAGCAGGTGTACATAGTCTTCAACACTTACCCTAGGGTAGTGCTCCACTATTAATGGAGGAAAATACAAGAAACTGAATTAAACTGTAAAGCTTAAATAATGAACAAAAAGAGATGTAGAAATATATCAGTGAGACAGCAACATAACAACACAAAAAAAATCTCATCAAAAGGTCAAAAAAGTCTTCCACAAAAAACATGTTTATAAACAGTGCTTGTCAATATGTCTTTTGTTGTTCAAAAAGTCATTTTGACATTCTAATGTTTAGGTCTGTAGAGTGTAGTAGGTAAAACCTAAATAGGCAAGAGAACATCATGAGGGCTTTAGCCCAAGGGGAATAACCCTTAGCAGGGTTGACAATTTTGGATATCTCCCAACTCTTAGGGTCGTAACTTTTTTATTATACCGTACAAATATTGGCACACAATTTGGCCTCTCATTCAGTGAATAATACAGTTATTCATGGGACGGTTCAATTTGTTGAGGTTATTCACAGGCCCTGCCGAGTTGGACAAAAACATCCAAATTAATTCACACCACATGATCTTTTATTAGCCAATAGATTTATTCAATTATACTGTGAGGTATAATAATAAACTAAATTTTGATCAAATGTTTTAAGTTTTTTGCTTTATGGTCTTGAATTAATTATTGATTAAGAAGTGCTATATTTTAATTGGATCATGCCATTCTTGTCAGAAAAGTGTAGAATTATAATTTATTTATTCACTAATATGAAACTACTAATCAAAAGTTTATATTTTTTATATTTTCTTTGTTTATATTATTATTAATATTTTAGAAATTAAATATAGACTGATGGATTTTTTTCATATTTAATATTGTATACTAGATGTTTTGTATCTTTTAGTTTTATTGTTAAAAATACATTTGCCAAAATCGTCTGACTTGTCTGGCCTACCAATATTTAATCAATACTGGGAAGTTGAACTTGGTGACCACTGGAAATAGAAAGTTGAACTTGGGTGACTACTAAAGCTGGAAAGTTGAAACCTTTTGGCTGGACATTCAGTCCTGCAAGTGTAGACATTCAGAATAAAAATAAAAGATAGATCATCATACATAGTGTTAAATTTATAATTTCTTATGGTCAGGCGGGGCCATGGTTTGTGTCTTACAGACAGCAAAACAATTTCAAGTTGTACTTCAGCATCACTGTTTGTCAGTTCTATAGTATGTGGCAGAGCAGAGGGGGGGAAGTGGGGGACACATCCATATCTAGTTATTATATGTAATACTATATCTGTAATATAATGAAATTGTAGTTTGAAATAACCATGAAGAGGTGTCTCCATAACAATGCATTCCTTTATAATTGTGTTGTGATTTATAAATATTTTCTATCATCTAAAGAAATATAATTATTGTAATATTAAATGATTTTTTTTAACTGAGACCTCTTATTTTGACTAAAGGGCTAGTGTGAGTTGTTGCATCTTTTTTTGTTTATAAATATCATTACCTCAGAAAGCTTAATGTTAATTGGACCAAAGATGGCTTGAAGGGTCTTACAGGGGACGTTCTTTTCTTTGTTTTGTATAGACAAACCATAATGAATTCTGCTACAAATGTACTAAAAAAACCCTATTTCAGTCTTAATTAAGTTTGGTAACTCTGAATGAAACTGGTTTGGGTTTACATAGAAATAAGAAGATGTGGTATGAGTGCCAATAAGACAACTCTCCATCCAAGTCAAAATGTGTAAAAAGTAAACAATTATAGGTCAAAGTACGGCCTTCAACACAGAGCCTTGGCTCACACCGAACAGCAAGCTATAAAGGACCCCAAAATGACTAGTGTAATACAATTCAAACAGGAAAACCAAAGGTCTAATCTATATAAAAAACAAGAAACACTTAAGAACCACATCAACAAATGATAACCACTGAAACAGGTTCCTGACTTAGGACAGGTGCAAACAAATGCAGCTGATTACATGTATGTATAATTGACATATCACTAGAGTGAAAATTGTTTAGAAACAAAATAAAAATCATAGCAAAAATAAATTGGTTTACACCTGCATAGAGCTTTACATGTTATCATGTGTTTTCCTATGATATTCCTTTACCTTTTGAAGCAGTCCAGTGAAGAGTTATTTTTGTTGATGATTTAGGATATTCCCAGTACTAGCACTATTATACTTATTGATTGCAATGTTTTGTTTTTCTTATTCCTAGAAAAGCCATGACAAGCCTTTTTTGGAAAATGACGCTATCAGCGGCATGTTTCCGATACCATTGACCAGAACTAACGGAAGTTGATTATGCCTCCGCCTACCGCACTCGGTTTCATATTTACTATTTTACATACTATTACTAACTGGAATCTGCTTGTATTACGCTACACTCGAACAAAGTGTTGTAGTCGGACGGGAACCAGTTTACATACGTTATTTTATTTACCAAAAGATATCTTGACCTGTCCATATGTTTTTTTGTTATTAAATGGTATTTGGAGCTATCCCTTTGTTATATTTTTCATATTTATTCGAGCTTTCACTTTTATGCACATGTCATACAATCGTAAACAATCGGTATGTATACATGATAAATAGATCCGTTTTGTTATGGTGTTGGACTTTTTACCCTCCAATTATCAGCAATCGCTAGACAAAATAGTTCTCCTAAATAATGTCAGCCTTTCATGCCATTTCAACTTTACAATCATTAAAAAAGTAATAATCGGAATCATTTTGATATCCATTGGATAGAAACTGGTCTTTATCCAGATTTACGAAGATTTCAATAATCGGAAATTAGTAATACGGTTATACCCACGCGGTGCGTATGAATCTTTGTTTACAGAGTTATAGCAGCAGATTCTGTAACTGTATCATTATTAATTAACTACACTGTTATTGTACTTAATATGATGAAAACTGCATATGCAATATAAGATGTCAACTCGGCCAATACAGATTTTTTTTCCGTATTGGCCGAGTTCTGATCCGGCCAAAACAGGATTTCGGAACGTCTCTAGTTTTTAGATCGTAAGTCAGGATAAACTCAAACTGAAAGTTTTTATTTACTCACCATAAACAAGCTGAAACGTTCAGTATGGCATATATTTTAGGTTAAAGACGGTCCCATTCATTTGAAAAGCATTTTGAAAGTAGACGATGGAATTATTTCAGGTTTGGGGAACGAGTAAATTATCACAAAGTTCATTTCTTGACGACCTCATAATTTCATCATGTCGATGGTACAAATCGATTTTTACTGTTTACTTTCGCTTCTCATGTTTTGTAAACGGTCTTTTATTTTTAAACCCGAACCAGGCATATGCATTCTGTTATTGCGCAAATCTTCGTTCTTTGGTCAATTGGCTTATGGATAGTTGTATCAATTTCAACTCTTACATTATTTTTTTTAAAATATATTTGCATTACACATGCAATGGCAGTACCTTTCCAATTACTATTTATGTGTTGTGTCTAAATTAAAGTTGTAACACTTTATAGTGACTGGAAAGGGTAGTAGAATTCATCAGATGAGAACAGGCTGAAGATACATGGAAAAGGCACCAAATCATTAGATATTGCATCTTATAAAAAGAAATTGAGATTTGGATAGTTCCACTTCAAGGTAAAAATGTTTATCTCTTGTGAAATGAAATAAAAAAATATTGTAACACTGTAGTTAATTAATAAAGATACTATTACATGTATTTCTGTATTGGCCTTATTGTTGGTCCTCGGCCAGCAGTACACCAAGACATGGACCAATAACAAGGACAATACAGAAATACTTATACAATAATATTATAGAATGACAGTATGGTTCAATAGCGGGAATCAGCCCCTCAACTACTTTTTACATAAATATTAACTTCTGGCTTCAACTCCTTGTTCGTCTTGTCTGGAGATCTTGTTGTAGTTCCAGTTAGGCAAGCATTTTAGAGACGTATCCCGTCCATCCTCTCTTGACTTGTAATTTCTGGTGATAGATTTTGCCGCTTGACGTTGTATCCTTTCAAGCTTGTTTTTTTTTGTTACCGTGTAGGGGTCCAATACTATGGCTCCATATTAAATTGTAAGATCCATTCCTAAAGGTCTAGATCATTGTTCTAATCTGACACAAATTTCAATAACTGGAATGCTACCCAAGTTGAATATATGGTGACTTACTAGAACAGCATTATCACTATTGAAATTGTGTTTAATACCATGATTGTTCAATGTCATTAACTTAAATGGAGACAGACATTTGACCTGAAAGGTGGTGTGGGAGTGCAAAATCAAAAACTAACTGACTATGATATATGGTTAAAGAATGAATATCAATTACATGGGTCAACATGGTCAAGGGCAGAGTTGTTATGAAATAACAATATGGCAGAGAAGTGGTTTCAAGTTTCATATAAAGCGACCTGACTGACATGAAATAAAAAATCAAAGGAGTATCCCTATTTGTCTAATCTTCAAGGTGAAATAAAACTAGTAAAACAATATTATACTATTGTCTAAATCTACAGAAATATAATTTGCTTCAAGTAACAGAAATAACTAGGTCACTAGTAACTTATTTAATGAGTATATGTATGTGGGGTATAAGAGCTTGATAACAACAGGCTCTTCATAATCATTTGGTTTGAAAAGGATACTAGTAGTCTATATTCTTGATTTAGAAAAATGTAATTGCAAGACAAAAATCATATTATTTAGAATACTTTAGATCATTCAGGTAGTCTTTATTTATATGTACAAAAGAACAGCCAGTAGTCATTGGATATTGTAGATCATTCAAATAGTCTTTACCTATTTATTAGTACAAAAGAACAGCCAGTAGTCATTGGATATTGTAGATCATTCTGGTAGTCTTGACCTATTTATTGATAGAAAAAAACAGCCAGTAGTCATTGGATACTGTAGATCATTCAGGTAGTCTTGACCTATACATTTGTACTAAAAAAACAGCCAGTTGTCATCTTCACATAACACACACACATATACGAATATCAATTATATGCTTACGAGACGTGTTGGAATGTTAAACTAATTACGGTATGTGAAAATCAAGACTTGCATAAAAAATATCACAATATTAGAGACAGTGGCGTCATTTTTCCTCAGAGCTTTCATTAATATAATTTCTCTCGGTAAGGAAAGTTATATTATGGTAATACATTCACCAGCTGGCTCTAGGTTCCTTTGTTGGTGCGTCAGTTAATCTGACATGTCTTTGTGAAATGTTAACACATTTCTGTTACCACGAAGACACGCTTTCTTCCGATATGAATATTTTCAGTTGTAGAGTGATAGGACTCATTAAAATTTTGATATTTGTTAGCATGTCTCAAGCTCTTGATACCTTGGATCTTCTGAATTTTGTTCATTATGGTTTTTTAAGCTCTATTTGAAGTTTTTATTTTAGATCAGATAATTCAAAGCCATGGAACATTCACTATAACAATTCAACAGTTTAGAGCACATCTCATGATAATTTTTCTCTATTTCACTGAATCTGTATAAAATATTTACACAATGATTTGTTCAATAGAGACAAACTCTAGGTGATTTGACTTTATCAATTTTTGTTCCATAGTTATGGAACTTTATTGATGCACCTTTTGTCAATGTTTGCTGTGTCTAACACACGGTCCACTTCTGCTTTCACCTAAACCAATGAAAATTTATCACAATCTTACAACTACATACCTGCCAACTTTTCAAAATCTCCATGCCTGTTTTGAGGTGTTCAGTTTATATACTAGTAATAAATAATTTCAAAATCCAGGTCAACACTTCTCATGAGGGATATCACCAATAAATCGGGATAGTCGGCAGGTCTGCAACTAGTAGACTCTATTGACAAAAATATAAAGGGGATAAGAAACCAAGGAGACAATCTAAAACCATAAGAAAATTGACAACCCCATGGCCAATGGAAAAATAAAGAATAGACGAACCACAGTCCACAAAACGCTATACAATAATTGGGTGTCATGAATCCCATCAAAAACCATATTAGAAACACAAGTACTGGAATATGGTTACAACTGGGAGATATGTTAATCATATGGAGATGCTGTTGAAATTTTGCTAGATATAAAAGGAAAATTCACAATTAACATTTTCAGATGATTTGTTCTACAGTATTGGAACGTCCGGCGTATGCATCCATGTCGCACACAGGCACTTGTCTCTGAAAAAAAGCTAAATACTTGCACTTGTCTCTGAAAAAAAATACCTATATACTTTAATATATTAAATTATACAGGTAATTATTCTGTGATAGCGCAGCTGTTCCTAATTTCTAAACAAATATATCTGCACTAAAAAATTAACGTCGCAACTCCCTCATGTAAATTTATCGTTAACTGGTTCGTCTGTCTTATTTAAAACTGTTTGGTGTTATTTTTTCGTATTCCCAAGTGTTTTATGCAATTTGCTTTCCAAATTTTCTGTCTCAAGTGTATATTCTGGTAAATATCTCAGAAACACACTGAACTAGGTTTATTGCGTATCATACTTTAGTAGTTATGTCAATAAAACAATGTAAAAATATGTTATGCACGTAAAAGAAGAAAAGAAAAATATGATCACGACCTTCAAAATATATTTATGATATTGAACATCTGACTGGACATGAAATCCATGCTAATTTTATAGTTCAATTGGTTTCAAATTTGATTGATTACTGAGGAAATGATTATTAGACTTGAAGGTACAATAAATTTAACATTATCTTTGATGTAGATATTTTACTTTTTACTAATATCTTAAATATAACTTCAATATTGGATTGTTGCCACATAAGCCTGAAGTTTAATTTATAGCATTCTATATTTAAACATTGAAAATGTTTAATATAAAATAAAGGAGATGTGGAATGATCCCGAACCTGGGACAGTGGTTTAACAGGACAACACAAGAACAAACTGTAAAAATCGATTGCAAACTCAAAAGATCGGTACGAGAAAAAAAGTATAACAAAAATACCGAACTCCAAGCTAAATTAAAAAAAAGTGGGGGGAGTTCATAAAAACTGACAAACTGACAAAATCAAACGTTAAAAACCAACGGAAAGAGTGAAAAACAACTGTCATATTCCTGACTTGGTACAGGCATTTTCCGAAGCAAATGGTGGGTTAAACCTGGTTTTATAGCTAGCCAAACCTCCCACTTGTATGATATTTGCCTATATTTCCGTTATATTGACAAAATTGGTTGAGCAACCCAAAGAACATAATAGGTTAATGTGACAATATTTGGGATCGTGCAGCCAAAACTTTGTAAACATACATCACCGACATGCAACACAACTGACTAAAAAAATAAAAAAAAACATATAAATGAATCTAACAAAGACACCAACAAAAACGTTGCTGTAGTTGATGGTATACTAAATTTGACAAAGACGCCAACAAAAAAGATTTTTTAGTTGATTGTATATTGACAGAGACGCCGATAAAACGTTTTTGTAGTTGATAATACATACCATATATAATATACACTTTCTCGATAGAGCTCAAATTAAGTAAAATATAAATATACAGAATGGAAACAACACTGAAAAACCTCCTGTGTCCGAATAGCACATCAGGACCCATCTGCACCAGGAATGCCAAAAGTAAAAAAACCCGATAGCGGGATACATAAATACCGAGTCAAGTCAAAGACATTTGTCCAAAAGAAATATAATAGCACGAAGACAAATAAAAGGAAAACTGTAAAGTAAATAAAGAGATATACACAATAACGAGACACAAGCACAACTAACATAAAAACAATAGACACAAATCACCGAAATAAAGAGTACTCGCAGTTGCTGAAAGCTAGTCCAAAGCCAATTACAACTAACAAATAAATCATGTTCCCCAAGACTAAAGTATCAATAAGTACACATCCAACTTATTTAGTGTAAAGTCATCATAAACAGTCTGGGAATCACATGACCTTGTACAATACCAAACTCTAACAGTATCGACAGGACGTGGGATAATGTGTTTTCAAAGCTGTATATATATATAGAAATATATATTTTAGCTATGTTTTAATTTCTCAAAAACAAAATCAATGTTAGTACCAATAAAAACAATACTTAAAGATTTTACTATTGTGTTAAATTCATAACCTTTAAGAAAAAGTGTTTTCAAAGGATCAAATAGTTTACATGAACCGTATTTAACCTTACGTACTTTATAAACAACATCACCGTACAAATTTGGATGTTTACCCGTTTTTAATAAGAACTTTACAGACACAGTCAAACTTCCTTACACAATCTTTGTATCTATGAAAGAATTTGGCAAAGGTTTAAAGCTAAACAATATACACCAGTTTGTAATGATTTTTGTCTAACTACTCTTCAACAAGGTACTTATTAATGACTTCACAATGAATTCGATCTGTGATTTTTAAAAAAGAAAAAAAAGATAAAGCAAGGTGTGCTTTGCCGAAAACTACGATTGCCTTTTAAATGTATCAGTTCCAAGAATAATGCTAAACAATTTCCAATTAAGGCTGTTTAGATGATAAATGTATTTTGCAGTTTTGATCTTATTCGTGTATACTACTAGCATTGGGATGAATATGGTGCGGTTCAATGTATTACCCCAGTTTTCTTGGGGAAAGGGGGCTGTTCGTGTTACTCAAGATACTGTTTTGCGGACTTGTTTGTATTTTGTCAAAATTTGGGAACATATTATGAATTATTGAATTTAATTGAAATTTAACGAATTTATTTCTAAACACCGTGAAAACACAATTTTAAATGAAATTATCAAAAATATGAACTGTAACAGATGAGGTATAGAAAATATTTAGTTTCTAAGTTTGATTGTACCTGTAAAAGGGTTTTCATCCTCGTCCTTTGGCCTAGCTCTGTACGATCGTCTCATTTGCAATAATATCATATCTTCTTATTTTTATTGGTGTTTTAAGAAAACCACCATACCTGTTTATTAGTCTTTCTCAGAATTCACTTTGATGTAAATCCTTATGAAAGAAAATTTAGAATACTAACTACCAGGTATTCGAATTCATAAATCAAAAAGAATACGAACACTTGGGGGGGGGGGGGGGGGGGGGGGGGGGGAGGGGATGCAAAAACTATGAAAAAAAAAATAACGCAGCAAGAAAGTCTCAGAAAAAAGTACTTTGACATATCTGATTTTTCTGTTTGTGTATTTTAATGTATGTCAGCATCACCTTTCATTTGATCTCATATCAGGTTCTTTATTGGGAAAACGTTGATGGTCTCTAATATAGTCTTCTAATGGTTGAACTTTCAACGCCATCTAATTAATATTCTTTCACATACAAATGCAACTCAACTCAATGCTAACAATTTGGACAAATAGAAATAGAACAAAATGAGTATCATCGTACACGGAACTTATTTATTTAATACTGAAATAACTTCTCGCGCATATTTGTTTACGTTTTTTCATGAAAATGTTCTTTAACATATTTCACCTAACCGAGAAAAAATATTGTACATGTGGGTCAGATTTTTTTATAATTTTCTCCTGATTAAAAAAAAATTGAACATTCATGTATTTTTATCTTTGGTTTTGGCTGGTTTGTTTGTTTGTTTGTTTGTTTGTTTTCTATTTCTCTATTCATAAACTTTTTGATTAGTTTCATAAAAAACAAACTTAGGTGAAACCAACTTACGAGGGTGAGCTGCAAACAATACCGTTTTTGGTGCTGTAAGTCTATTTCTGCTTTGTAGAAGACTTAATATATTTCTCTTAAAGTTATGAATATGCATAACTATAGCAGTATAACTATGACGTCATTGTTGACATATATCTATGAACTACATATTTCAAATTCTTTTCTTACAATTAATTAAACATATTTTTGAAAGGCTTTGACCTCGTTTCATGTTATTTTCTTTTTAATTTGCCCATTTGATACCATAAACTTATTTAGAAAATAAAAAAATATTTTATAATTGTTGTTTAAATAATCTTTAAAAAAAAATGTTTACAATTGTTGTTTGAAATTGTCGTTTTAATAATCTTTGAAGCATACTGGGAAGTGTTATTGTATCTCAAAATGAGTTATGCTAGATGGTTAATCTTGACATAAAAATAAAATATTTTATCAACAAATGTTTGTGGTTTTATAAATATTAAGTAGATAAATGACATACATTTAAAATAACAAATTACAACAATGTCTTAGAGGTGTTACAAGTATCATTGTTACAGATGATCAGATGATACGCACAAGAGGTGATACTAAAAGTTGATATTTTGTGTGATCTGATCATTGTCCCTCAGGTATCAATGTAACGTCTTGTCAAGGAGCAAATGACAGACATGCAAAGTGAATGTGCCTCGGGCTACGAACATTGACATATCCGAATACATCACTAACCAAATCAACAACTATGGTAATTTTGGAACAAGACAAGGAGCACCAATAAGTGATCATTTATATATTCGGAATATTTATGAGTGTCATTGTGTTGTTGTGAAAGGAATATTTTCGTTTTTAGGATATCTTCGTTTCATATATTAAATGTAGATGTGTTTTTGGATTTAAATCTTTCTGCTGATTTGGCATTTTAAAAATATTTATCAATCGGAAGAAAAATAGCCCATAATTGTCAGAACAGACATGTAAGTAAACTTACACATAATATTTTACCTTGAAAAACTTACATACATAAGAAGAATATATTTGATATATCGTACCATTAATATACTGTTAGATCAGTCAAGTTTCTAGTTGTTTTTTTTACGGAATTTTAATAGAAACAAACTTTTTGTCATAAAGGTAAAAAATAGATATGTTAATCACTACAACCCCCTCCCCCTCCCCCCAAAATAAAACAATTATGGTAGTCTCAAATATGTTACAGGAAATGATTTCTTCAATAAATTCTTGCAGAATGAATATCAAAACGAAATAGCCAAGATATTTTCGGAAACTATTAGTTGAAATGATTTAAAATAACGAATTAATAATAAAAATATTTTCTTTACCTTAAAATTTACACCCACATATACAGTCTTATATTAATTAGTAAAAGTTATGTTCTACGTTTTTGTGGTTATATTTTATGTGGCGTTTGAATTTTTGAATACAACATTTACTAAGATGTTAAAGGGTTGTTATACCAGGAAGTTTATAACGCAATCGAAAATATGTCAAATAAAAGGGCAATATTGTAGACTTTGTGACGTGTTGAAAGCACCAAAATGTCATCATTGATAAATATAGTACATTTAGTTTTCATTTTATGTTGTTGAATAAATAAAAGTTTATGTGTTTGCTGAGACATAATATATCGAATACAACTGTCATGCAGGTGTATGGTAGAACGTCTAGATATCTTATACGAAAGCGTCAACTTATTATGAAAAACGAGCGTACTTTGAAAATTATATATTATGTATTCAGTTATATATAAATAGTATAAGTAAAAAGATAACTAATATAAAAACAATCAATTAAATATCTACTTCGAATAGCAATTTCATTTCTCAGTTTCAGTTGCCCGATGTAAATGTACACAGGACCCCATAAACACCTTAGCTACCATTATTAGTAAAAAAACTAGTTTGACAGGTACACAATTTATCTAATAAAGGTATTTTTGTCCATTTCGCTGCAGTAGTATACATTATTGTTTAGGTGGTCAGCTGAAGCCTGCCTCCGAGCGCGGGATTTTCCCGCTGCATTGAAGACCCATTGGTGGCCTTGGGCTGTTTTCTGCTCTTTGGTCATGCTGTTGTCTCTTTGACACATTCCCCGTTTTCATTCTCTATTCTATCTTTGTAAAAATGTTTACGAGATTAAAATTTAGTAGCAAGAATGGAATGTAGGAAATTTCTCAAAGAAATTATCATAAAATACAAATATGCGGGAATGTCCTTATGTGGAAAGTGATTTGAAGTAATTTCCTTAACCATATCTCTGAACAAACACTAATTACAAGTATATCTACTTTACTAATAAGAATAAAACCATAAATCAACGTTATATAGTAGATATGTTTGTGATATATTTGTCTATCATAATTTACTGGTAACAATTAAGATGCCACCTTAATGTGTATGGTCTAACTATATGATTTTACCTGAATTATTCATGAATTTTATCATGAAGATCTTTCTAAAAGTATTTTTATCATATTGCTTTGATAGTGATATTTGTTTCAAATATATAATGAAGATGACACTTACACCCTCCTATAGACATCATATTATACTGTCTATGAACTTTTATATTGTGCTGTTACACCACCGTCCAGGATAAGGAGAGGGTTGCAGGTTCACAAACATGACAACTCCGCTACATTCTTCATGTGCCTGTATCAGGAGCTCGCGATTGTAATTCAGTAGTTGTCATTATTTGCAGACTGTCATATCTGTTTTTCGTTTGTGGGTTTTAGCTTTAATCAAACTGTTGGTTTTCTTTTTTTGAATTATTTCACATGTCGTTATTCTTTAGCCGTTTATAGAAGAGAGACGAAAGATACCAAAGGGATATTCAAACTCATTAGTCGAAAACAAACTGACAATGCCATGACAAAAAATTGAAAAAAGACCAAAATACAAACAACAGTACACAAAAAACAACATAGAAAACTAAAGACTGAACAACACTAACCCCAGCAAAAATCTGAGGGGATCTCAGTTGCTCCAAAAGAGTCACTGAAGCAGATCCTGCTCCACATGTGTCACACGTCGTGCTGCTCATGGGAGTACAAAACCGGTGATAGGTCTAATTCGTTTGGTCACATTCGAAGAAAAGAGGCTGGGACTGTGGTTACGACAATTGGAACATATATGTCCAACATATATGAAACAGATATTCCATAACGGTCAATCAACGCATGATGGTGTCCGTAAGATTTCGCTGGGATGATGTCCACTTCACCACTTGGAACTCTTGGTTTAATAGCTTCCTTGTAAGCAATAACACCCTCTCCCCCATCATGGAAATCATGATAGGGAATGCAAGCTCTGGAATATCGTACCAACTGTGAGATATATAATCCGTATGCCAGCGCTGCTGGAATGTTGATACATAGAAATGGAAAGTTCTCAATTGGGAAGCTGAAATCATCTCTTTTGTCATAAATTTTGTTATCGACCAACCCTTACTGTCAATTTCTAGATGCATGTGTTGTGTTCTTCATTTCAAGTTCAATGGGATAGATGCGTTCAACATAATCATCAAACTTTGAACTATTTAGTGACCGGACGCAATCATGTATATAACGTAACGCGAAGTTAAATGATAGTGCTAGCTTCTTTTCATTCTTCATAAGAAGCTTCTGTATGAAGTCAGCCTCATATGATTAAAGGAACAAGTAAGCAGGAAGAAGACTTCAGTTGGTTCCCATGGAAATGACAATAATTTGTTGAAAAACACGTCCTCCAAACCGTAACAAATATGTTGTCAATCAAGAATCTTGATAATGTCAGTTTCAGAGAAGATGTTGTTAGAATCAGAGTGATTTTTTTTTTACAAAGTAAGATTTGTCCCTCCCTAAGACAAGATACTTGTATTTACGTCGGCCATTCTTTTTTATAAATTAAAGCAGGACCAATTCTTTAAATTTGTCTTTTCGTTTGGAATGGGATTAACTTGTGTAAAGTGTAGAACAGTCAAATGTTTTAATACCATTGCAAGATGAAAGAGACTTAGTTTGTATGTACTCTGTAGAAGTATGTGCGGTGACCTATAATTACTTAAATCCTTGTCATTTGGTCAAATGGATAGTTTTCTCAGTGACAAGTTTACCTCACTTTATTATTATATTTTTGATACAGAAATATGTAGAAAATCGTCTTACTCACTATATATTTTATTAGTTAACGTATGAAAACTTGCGTTGGTAATTAATTAGGCAGACATCTGCATTTTATAGGCATTTTTGTCTTCTTGTTTAACACAGTATAAATTTTGTCAAGCTTTTACGTAAATGACTAAAGTTGACCCTTTATACTTAAATATTAATGATATAGTTTATCATATTTTATAAACAAATGTTTACTTCATTGTTGATGTAGGAGTTTTTATCAACATTTCATTGCTTTTCAAAACGGGGTTTGATTTCGTTTTGTATTTGCGCAAACAAAACTATTTTTCATTTGTATAGGCAAGCGTTCCATTTTTTTTTTTTAAATTGCATGAACCAAAAGAGAGAAGTAAGAATTTTGTTACCAATGATTTATCAGGATATGGAAAAAAATGACAAAAGGACAAACAACCGTCTACATAACACTCATACTTCATAGAAAACTAACGACTAACACGAATCACACCAAAACAAAACTGGAGGGGGAGGGGGGAGTGGGGATAGATCCTAATTATGTGTCTGATTAACGACTTTTTTACTTATAAGAAATATATAAAATCAATGATTAAGAACAAACTTGCAAAGACATGAAGATTTATGTGTTGACAGTAAATCATCAAATACATCAATTTTGGCGACGGGAATTCCTGAAACAAAATTTCAAAGGTAACAAAGGATCATTTTAGTACTCATTTTATTAGTATATGTTTATTTTTTTTTGTATAAAAAGAAGACATATTTTCATTTATCTTGTGACTAAGTACACCAAAAACATAGACTTTTCATCTATGTGTATATGATATATAGTTGTTGCCATTACAGTAATGACATTACATCTTGTTCATAGGTAAATTGCAACTTGGATCATAATCTTTTCTTTGTCTATAAAATTTTATTCAAATGCAATTTAAAAGCTAATCCACATAATTTAAATATAACATGAGTTGTGTGAATACAATAACATAACACCGCCGTACTAGGAAGATTTAGTTGCTATATATAGGACGCAAATCACCTTTAATATCATCAATAAAATAATAAAGATTTAAAAGAAATGGTACGGCAAGGTTATCCACTTAACCTCCCGTGATTAAAGAATACTCTTTTGCAAAGTTGAAATACGAATTCAACGATAGTTAATCTGTATTCACTGCGATGTGAATATGAAGTGAATGATACGCATCGAAAATAAAAGCTTAATAAATGGTAAAATCTCTGTTTAAACCAAATACGAAAATGAAAATACAAAGATTTCAACAATAAATGGTAAAGTAGGTACTACAACATTACAATTATTATTATAAATACTAATAAAACATGTGCTATCTTTGTCATTCTGTCAGTAACTGTAGTGTATGCCAGGACGTGTAATAATATACATGTATGATGTTCAATTGCCTGTGAAATAAGAAATTATAGTTACGGTTTCCATAGTGATTGACATGAAATATTACAGCTTTATTACACATCTATCCTGTCAATGTCACACGATGGCGTCAACGAGTTAGTGATGTAATATCTACTGGACCATTAATATGAGATAGAAACAATAATTTAGTTTGTAGCTGTCAGTTGCATTATGCAAATGCAAACCTTTAGATGTGTTCACATTAATATTTGTTTTTTATATTGGATATATTATTTTTTATTACATTATAAAACCACACCTTCATTGAAATAGACATTTATTTAAAAGAGAGGGAGTCATAAAAAAATTTAATCACGCATGAATTTAATTCATATCTCTTCAACATCTTAATTTGGCCCACACGTGTTTGGGGGGAAAGTACCCCCCTTTTTTCTTATTATTGTTTTAGTAAATATTCTCTTATATTTTAACCTTTTTTCACTTATTTCATGTGTTCTTTCTCTTCACCATACGATATTATTAAAATAACAGTTGATTATGTATGATGATCTTCTAAAATCCTGGAAATTAAGAATAATATATAAACTAATATTATTAAAAAAAAGAGAAAATTCCCGAAGTGCTGTGATTTGGCCTTCATTGTTTTCTTTTCGATTGGCACTGTCGACTTTTGTGTGGACAAAAACCTTTGTGTGACCTACTAAATCGTAAGCCTGGTGTCCTTCAATGATGGCATTTGTACCATACCTGTCATGAGCGGAATTAATCAAGTTCATAAAAACTCAATGAATTCAAATTTGAATATTTAAAAAAACAATACCAAGGGTGTCATTCGAGAAAAGACCCCTGTACAAAGGAAAGACTGACTAAAAGAGACGTCCATATTACATCGTAATTAAATTTTTAAATACTCAGCATAACACATTCCACTTAACACTTGGTATCAAAACAAGTGCTTTGGAAGGGCAACGTTGGCTCATTTAAAGTTAACTATCTATCCTCCTTGTTGTTTATGACCAGTTGGATTAATTGGATGAAATGGTTTTTAGAAGTCGAAGATATTTTGCCAATTAAAATGTGTCGTTTCACGTGATTTATCATGTGCACCATGTGATTGATGAATAAGGGGAATACATAAATATTTTAAACTTTAATCTAAAATTTATGTTCCAGACGAATATATTGTTTTCCTATCAATTATTCAAAGGAAAGGTTCATTAACTGATCATTTTTCGCCTGTCTATAAATTTTCATGTAATGAATTATTTAAGTACATTTTGTATATTTAAAATTATGTTCAGTGTTTCCTCTGACAAATTGAGCTTATTAATAAATATACAGTTTTGATATGATTGTTTCAATAAGGCCCTTCATAATTTTGATGCTCCAGAGCGTTTGATAAATTTGGCTTCCCAACTTTTTGGTCTTCAGTGTATATATGATGATATTTAGACTTGTCATTCTCACTGAAGTTAGTACATGTATCGTATGCTTCTTTTTTATTTTGTCGTAGAAGTTGCATGTTAACTGCATGCAAGCATGAAAAAATGTTCAGAATTAAAACCCAAGATTCAAAAACTAAGCTTGTAAAATAATATTCAAAGTTTCAAAAAATCAATATCTTTATTATGAAAATAAAAAGTCCACGTAAATTTGGATTCACATCTGAATTAGCATTACGACATATTATTTAAGATGCTTTTAGATCGGAGAAATACAGATTTTCCAAAATCGACTGTATTGCTTACATCCACTTCATTTGAACTTTGGTGGGTAGTTGTCTCATTGGCATTCATACCACATCTCCTTATTTTCATATGTATGATTCTTTATAAGCATTGTTGTCAAATATAAACGCATCTTTCTCCAACAACGGTAATCTTTGTGCTGTCCGCTTCAAAGCAATGTGCAAACCCAATAAATTCACTGTAAAACAATAAACCCACAGTGTCAGAAAATATCAACCGATGAACTGTATTCGCTTCGAAACAGGAAACCATCTGAAAGTATCTACTATTTATAACATTATCCGGTATTAACCAGAAGAGGTGTACCCTTGATTAAGATATCCTTTTTTACTTGTTTCTTTTCAATTTCTAAAATATGACTTTAAAAATGGATAGAACCAATTTCTCCTGTATATATTTCAAACTAGGGCCATTTTCGAAATGCACCTAATCGCTTATATTTTTTGTAAAATTTTGAAATGTTTCCGAGCTTTAGAGGCTGTCACAAAACTATAGCTAATTTTGAATGCAGAACAATGGAGCAAAGCCGCAATTTTGAAAAGCTAAGGTCAGTTTTTAGTTTTTTTAAAATGAACAACAAGGACAATCATAGCCAAAAGCAAAATCTATCGGAAGTTAAGCTAAGCAGTGTCATTCTTTTTAGTTTATAACATTAAAATTTGCACCAATTCGAGAAAAAAAACCAAAGTGTTCATTTGCACTATAAAATATAAATATATCAATTGCGACATGAGCAGGTACAAATTACATTCATGCAAGATAATAATCCGAAACATATGTTAAATAATCCGAGAACATGTTAATTATTTATAAGAAGTGTTCAATTAGTTGCAAGTACATGTATTGACATACTAGAACAACTTTTTGATGCGATAAGATATGGTTATTTAGACGTCAAGGCAAATGAAAGAAATACGTTAACGATCTTTGATGAACATTCCTATCGGTTATCAAACATTCTGTAAAATGAAAATTTTCCATAAAGACGTACAAATAAATGTTTTATGATCTTGACTACACATAAGGGTTGGGACGCTCGAAATTAAGTTGTGTAAATTTTACATCAGCACAGTTGTCAGTCCTCCTATGCTGATTTTTCAAATATGCAATGTTTTTATCAGAATTTGTTTAAAAGCGCTGTATAGCACTAAATATTATATTTACTTTGATTTTATGAACACACGGGAAATTGTTGCAAAATTCTTGAAGTATAATTATATTTCCAATAATCATGATAATCAGAATTTTACCTCAACCTGTACACTACCACCTGAATAGACTGTTAAACATGATTTAGATTCTCTAGTATTTAAAATTCCAATGTTTTTCCTTATATTTTTTATCTCGTGAGAGAAGCAAAATCAGGGTAAATCGGTCATACGTCTTTCTGAACTATAGCGCATGAAAAAGGCCGAGCTCAAAATGTGTCTAGAACTTTTCAACAATTTCCAAGTGTTTAGTCATTGTGCATAAATATATATGAAATAGACATTGGTACATTTGTATGACTAAAATGTATACACATACTTTGTAGTATGAAATGTTGCCTTGTACTTCAATAAGACAGCCAGAAACAGCACAAAATTATCTAGATGTAAAAAAACGATTTGCAACAACAAAAAAAGTGTTTATACCATAGGTCAAGCTCTATATTAAAACAGAGTCTAGAAAGTCTATGAATGAATACAATATAGGCCATCAATGATTTTCTATCAACATCCACATTTTTAAAGGCCAATTAACACTAAGCTTTAACACAGAAAACCCTTTGACTAGATTCCTGAGTTGTTATCATCTTTTTTTAATATCGGTTTTACATGCAAATAAGTACAGTTAAAAGTAAAACAGTACCAATTGATACCAAGTTCAAAGTATACTCGCAGTTACTGAATGGAAGCCTTTAAATTAATACATAATTAGAAATCATTCCTTAACTCTACTCTAATATCAACTCTAGGTTTCAGTCAGTAGCGCCAATTACAGTGCAGCATTATACGATGATGTCTGGTAATGTCGCTTATCTGACAAATCCGTTTATTGGAAGTTTTGTAAACAAAAATCTTAATAACCGGACGAACGAAATTACCGGACTCGACTGTATATGATCAGAATCGCAGGTAAAGGTCCCATTAGAAGCACCAAGTGCGATAGAAAACCTCGTTTTGTCTCGTCTTGTGCATATAACGGTACTTCAGGTAATTTCTTTTAATTTGGCAACGATGCTGTCTTTCTTCGAAGTCTTTTGAATACCTAGTCAGTTTCTTTTCATTCTTACAAGGGTATTGGCCCTTTACCTTTGTTGTAGAGTTCCGTTGAACGTCATTTTGACTTAGGTGTATAGTTTTCTTGTTTGGAAGTACCAATAAACCCTATCGCCATCTTTTATTTTTTTTTAATAAGAAAGCAGAATCATTGATTGAAAAAAACTTTAATGACTTCTTTTCTTTTAGGTGACCAAACCAGATAATGACCAGGTGGCGGTATGTGGTCAGTACAGCCTTTGCATTTCTTCTTCTCACAGGTTAGTACATGTAATATATGTATGAACATAAAATTATTGCATTTTTTTCGATTCCCCGAAAATGACCGTTGATAGTTCATAGAAGGAAAAAAGTAGTATTACATTTTCCCAGCTTTAGCCTTTTGTGTACCCAAGGCAGGCGAAGGAAGTCAACTTAGGAGCGCTGTGATTTGATGTAAGGGTATAATATATTGTTTTATTCATTCATGAATAACTAAAGTGTGTATATTTACAATATAAATTTTGAAACCCATTGAAATATTTTCTTGAGAATTATTCGAAGAGACTTCCAAATTTTCATAAATTTGCAGTAAAATGACGGTGGGCATGGATACCATAAACAAGCTCCGTTGGAAGTTGGTCATGATACTATTTGACTTCAATTTCTAAAACAGAATAATAAAGTACTAATACCACACATAACTTTTTTGTCCAGGTTTTTATTATAAAAAGTAGTAAATTAGAAAATGTTAGTATTGTCGCCTATGGAAGAATAAATACTACCGTTTTCTCTATAACACAACATTGTACACTATAACAGTCAAGTATTTCAGAAAAAAATCACAAGAGTTATTTCAATGTGTGCTTGGAGAAAAATCTGTTAAAGTAAATTAGGAGAGGAATTTGTAAATGTGAAAAGTCAATTGTTTTCAAATTCTTATAAAAATGTCATATTGTAATGTTTATGTTTTATGTTAATATTTTCACAATAAAATATTGTTTACACTAATGTGTGCACTACTAGTATCTAATTGAGTTTTTTCTGTTTATTTATTTCATTTTTGCTTTTTATTTTATTGATGCTGCTTTATACCCATTGACGCTTTTTATTTTTTGTTTTCCTATTCAAAATTAATATTATTCCGAATTAAAAATGCTCCTAGAAAATCTAATTCATCAGGTGTTGTCAAATATTTGATATGTATTTTGTCATTAATATCGTTATTGTTGTGGTAAAAACAAAGTATAGGTGTTTGGCCATATTTTATTCATTTGGTAGTTTATCACAATGGCAATTATGCAAATAAAAACAGTGCAAGTTATAATTCGTTTAATGACGATGATAGGCACTATAAACTCTCGAACAAAGCACATGCCATCCATTTACAAATAAAATGTACTTGTCATGTTTGACATGTTATATTTTCATAGGTTATTCTAAGTGGGTGGACAGTTTCCTTGTCTTTAATGTAGAAATTATTTTTTTCCCTCAAAAGCTTAGAAAACTCAATGCCATAAATGACACATCTCTATTTAACATATAGTATGACTGCATTTTTTGGGATGTTAAAAATTATTTCAACTTGACGCAAAATTTCTGATAGAAAATAGTTTGAGGTTTTACAATTGTAATATATTACACAGCAAAAGAGGGCCAACCAGTTGAGGAATCCTGTCTATTCACATTTTCTTAAGTTTTATAGACTCTGCGGGGTTGAGGTGGGTGGGGAGATATGTAGAGCCTTGCCTATTTTTAAAGATTGTATGTTGCCCGATTTTGGTTAGTTTTGTCGTTGGGTTGCTGTCTCAGTGACGTATACCCGCATTTTCATTTATTCAGATTTAAAAGCAATTTTTGAATTGGTGTACTTATTTGTACAAAACATTACAAATAAAGCGACAGATATAAGAGTGAAATAAAGCATGATTTCTATATCGGGAGATTACATACTAATAGAACTTGTTTTATTTGTTGACCATCGATAATCCTTATTCTCCGATACGCTGTTTTATCTGAAATGGACTTATTTAACAGCGACTTTATTGTTATAACTACATGTATGCTCATTTTATTTATCATGTTTGTTCGTTACTCATCGAGATGAAAATAGAAGAATTGAGTTCTCAAAGCTGGTTTATGCCGGTTCCATACCAGGAACCTTGTCATTGGGCGAACTTTATTGTAATATCTTCATGATTGTGCTTTATACAATTTGATATTGATGACACATATTTGATGTAAGATTTATTCATCGCTAATTTAATCGGGACGATTTACCCTTTAAATATGATATCGCCATTCGTCTATTGTTGAAGACTGTCTATTGACCTCTAACTGTCTTTGTTCTTATTGAGTATTAGTATGTCGTTGGGTTGCTTTTTTATTGACTTCCAGTTTTTAAGAATATAAAATATATAATATTCTAAAAACAATATATTCATAATTGAAATCGCGTTTAAAATAGATAATGACTATATAAATCAAAAGACCTGAAAAAAGAGAGATAGGCCCATACGGTAATTTTAGAGATACAAGAGAGGCGGAAGATACCAAAGGTCATAAGTCGAAAACAAACTGACAATGGCATGGCTGAATACGATAAACAACCAAAAAGACAACCAACAATCTTCAAAACACAACATAGACAACTAAAGACTGAACAACACGAACCCCACCAAAAAGAATTGAAAACATATTTTTTATAGGAAAAGATGTCTCTCAATTTTCGTATGAAACTTATAAAAAAAATGTTTAAAGTCAGTATGAAGAAAAAAAACAGTAAATAAAATACGAATTGGGTAGATATTTTGTGAGGATTTTATTTGAGAAGTATGTTAAAGATTTTGAGAAATAAGGTTCTACTAGTGAAAAAATTATAACGCATTGCTATTGAAAAAGGCAAGAAGTTACAAAATATTAAAGGGTCTGAATGGGGTTTATATAAAAGGGAAAATGTGCCAAAATACAAAACAATGGGACTAGAAATAAAGAATAGAGAAAAAAATGGATAAATCAAAGTACTGAAGTACTGAACATCGGATGACCGCATGTTCTTGTGGATGGTCAAAAGCACATGTCACAGAAACAGATCACATCTCTATACCTGAACTGAGGTTAATTTACAGATTTTTTTTCTGATACAAGTATGTGCTTGGATGATGAATAAATGACAGGAAATTCAACCTCACCGTAATAACTATTATATTGTAGTGATACAAATCAGTATACTTTAGACTATTATACTAATATAATAATAGTTCCAGAGATTACACTGGTTTGTTGTTATATATTATATTAATATTACGGTTGCATGTTTATATAATTTTCATCTATTTGTATATCATTCTATTCTACTATTATTATAGTGCAGTGCAAGTGCATGGTGGACACTCTTCTGTAAAAAAAAATCAAAGCCTTAAAGGCTGTAAAAGCAATTGCTGTCATGTTAATGTTTTGTGGACTTTTATTTTTCATCCATATATATAAGAATTAAACCTGACAGGACAGGAGTGTTGACTAGTGAGAAGCAAGACGGTTTTAAATTTATATCAATAAAAGACTTTAGCAGGAAATCATTTTAAATATGTTTTATATTTCACAAGGAGACAACAAGTTTACCAGGCTAAAGTTGGGGTTAATTATACATGTGCTGAAACATATAACTAAAAAAAAATCATTATGGATTATCCCCTGGTAGTGTTTGTAACTGGGCAATAATTTCCTTTATTGATTTAATTTTAACAATTTTCATAATAAATTTAAATTAACCATTCAGTTAAAACATTTCAACTTTCCAGACGCAAATGTTGAAAAACGGGACAGAAATAAAATATCTTACAAGACATAAACATGTAAAAAATAAATATATATTTCAGCTTACTAAAAATATTTTCATAATGTTACTTTGACATCATTTCTTAAAACTAAGTCCCAAACATAATTGATCAGTTGATATGTGTCATCCTCATGCGATACGAGATAACTATAATTCTGATGCAATCCCGAAAAGGGGGGTCATCACAAACAAACATGACATTAAATTGTCATTATACGAACTAGAACAAACAGCTTTATGTTGCTTTGATATTTATCAATTTTCAGGAAACATGTGAAATAAATTTCAGGTCCATTTCATTATAGTGCCTAACAAGATTGTGTGAGGTAGACGAAATTGACCTTAAAACGATTGTATTATCTTTTGATGTCCAAAAATAGGCAGATCGGACATATAAGGACTTTATCTAATGACTACTATGATAAATTTGGGATTTATTATTATCATAATATTCTAATGAAACTGAAAATTGTATTTTTTTGTTAGGATAAACAACAATTTTACCTGGCGTAGCCGTGCATAAAAAATGTTTTCTGCATTTATCTTCGAAAAATGGCGTATTTAATGGAACGTTAATACAGTAAACTTTCTCTTTTTTCTCCGCAATAGGCTATCAAAAATAAATTATCTAATGTGTATGTGGAAAATTATGTGAAAAGATAAAAAGTGGCAATTGTTACCTTTCATACCTTAAGTTTCATTCATCCGATTCTGGCCAATGCTTATATACTAAATATCTATTTATATGCTGCTATTATTGTTGTTACCAATTATGTAAATCAATTGTATCTGATTTTATGCCCTTTATGGGCCCTGTAATTTGGGAAATAAAAAAAAAATTCTATTCATTGATAAAACGTAATATGGACTGGTCCAGTGTCCAGTTTGCAGGTCATTTAATTTACTGTACACATTCATGCACACTCTGATTTAATCAATATACTCGTACGAAAAAGCATGAACAGTTTGAAGGTAATCTAATAATAACTTAATCCAATCAAATTGCATAAGATTCAATAACAATGTCCAGTCCACATCATAATGAGTAATAGGGGTAAACTGGGTAGGGAGAAAATGACAGATATTTTAAGTTGATATTTATGCAATAACGAATTAAAATTTGTCAACCAAAAGTTTTGCTACAATTTCAAAAAAATGTCGTTCTGTATGGGTATAGTTTTCGGATCTTTCATTAGCGTATTTAAGGCTATAAAAAGTTTGGGCTTCAAAAGTTCACACAATTATTGACTTTATACAGAAAATTCTTCCTTGTAAAACATTTAAAAGTTCACAAATGATACACGATTTTAAAGTAAAATTATTTCTTAAAACACTGCAAAAAATTTCATTCATATTGATAAAGTGGTATCGTCATAAAGTGCGTTGAAATGAACAGTGGTATAGCAAACATCGAATTCCCTCACAAAATGTTACACGTATCACACACTATAGTAAGGGGAGTCAGTTAAGTTGGTCTATTTTTAGATAACAGGTAATCATTTGACGCAACCTGTGTGACCTGTGTAGTGATTTTGATTTTACGATAAATTCATGAATGAACGATAATTTTATGAATGAGCATGAGCACCTGACCTCTTTCTTAAACACCAATTAAACATATAAAACTGTATTTAATAAGGAGATAATTCACTCAAATTTTCAGTACGAAATCAACAACTGAAATGATTCCATTTTTTGATGAAACATCGTACGAACGGAGAACGGAATCGCAGGTATAAAAATGCACTTTTTTCCCTTGTAATGACCGCGGATCTATAATTTTTATAGATCGGTTGAAATCCCAAAACTAATTTGCATAATGGAAATTTAGGCGATAGCAATACATCGGAGTGACCTCAAGGTCATCCTCTGTAAAAATAAAGATTAGAGAATAATAGGGGTGCTAAACGCATGTACTTTACTAAATTCCAGCTCCTGATTTCTTACCATGGTCAAAACTGTTCTCAAAGAGTAGTTAGGGTCTCTGGTGATTATCAGACTCATACAGCAGACACTTGTTGCTGCCGATGTTAAAGGCCCTTTCCCTCTATAGAAAGGGGAAGGGACCTTTCCCGTAACATGAAACAAGTGCCTGTGTCTGATACATTAATTACAAAGCGCAGTTAATGGACAAACGATCAAAATAAATTTAACAAAATTATCTAAAAAAATATTTAAAAATATGTTAATCTATAGCAATCTATTTCAGTTTTGAGTGTGTGACAAATTTTAGAGGTTGATAGGATATACATACAGATATTGGTCTAAAATTAGTTTTATGTGACACTAAGGATGTCCTATGCATTCCTATCATTACATTACATATAGATGAACAGATATAACGTGATAAAACCATAAAACAAATTATCCACATGAATAAAAATTGCCTTGTAGATATGCTTTACACCTTCAATACGTATCCCGTTTTGCATGAATGAATGGATTTTTTTTGTTTTCTGTGTTCAAGTATTTATTGAACATAATTACTTTTTTAATAAAAGTATAAACTTTAACATACCTTTTTTTTCTAATTGCAAACTGCGTTTCTATTTGTTTTCATATGACCGAAAATAACTAAAATATTCTTAATATATTAACGGTTAGTACATAAAAAATAAGGGGATGCGGTATGATTGCCAATGAGACAACAATCCATAAAGACCAGAGGACAAAAATGTGAACAATTACATGCCACCGTACGGCCTTCAACAATGAGCAAATTCCATAAAAACTATAAAAGGCCCCGGTGTCACAAAATGTGAAACAAGTAATCGCATGCTATCATGCAGATTGTAAACTTGTAGTACTTTTTGGGAAAATTTGAGTATTTATAAAAAAAAAATGGTATGAGAAGGTCAGAACACATTCACAAATCAAAGTTTTTTTCTGGAGTAATTTTAAAAGCTCTGTATTGTTTTTCGGGTTAAAGAAATCATTTTGATCAAACGCAAAATTTTACAAAAACATTCACAGTTAGGAATTTGTTACAAAATATCTTCAATAGCAACATGTCGCAATGAATATCATTTTAATTTCATGGAATAACTCAAAATGTTGAAAGTTATTTTAAATATAAGATATAGACTCTTAAATATTCCAATTCAAGTCGGTTTAGATTTTTGTTATAGATCATTACCCTTTGAATGATACAAACACATGCGAACATGACCCTGGCTTTTTATAAGTAAAGAGTGAAATTTCATATGTGTATAAAACTGTAATTGTATAATAGGCAACATTTTTAATGAAGTTAAACATGACACAAAAGAAAGAAATTTCCAGACAGAGATTTGATTATAAATTGATATTTGTTAGTTATCTTAATAACTGAAGGTAACAATATAACAAAATACGACATGAAAAATGAATGATGATATTTTCACAGGATGAAACACATTCTTTAACAAACAGAAACTAATGAAAAATAGGGAAAACAAAAAGATGAAAAAAATAAAGGAAATATTATTTTATTTTCAGATATCATAAGATTATCTTATTGTCAGTTTCTAAATGGACCAAGACGAAATCCTTTTGACCCCATTAAAAACTTTCGAACTATACCAAATGTTCCAAGATTTCGTGGAAATGCAAGGATTGGAAACTTTCAGAGAACAAATTTGAATGTTGTGCAGCAGAACAGTCTTCGATTCCAACAGCAACAACTTGAACAGAGACTTTTAGATAGACGAGAGGCAGAAGGAACTGATTCTGAACGCGGGTATACAGGTGGAAACAATGTACAGTCTCAATTTCCAAATACTGGATTTTGCCGTGATGGTTGGACAGAAGCATCATTAGATGGTGTTGCAATATGTATTCGTGTAAATACAGATCCATCAAAATGGGATGATGCCCAAGAAAAATGTAGACAAGATTATTCGTTTTTGTTAAAACTAGAAGTCCCAATAAAAGTACAATCAAAATCCATCCAAGATCATCTCCTGTCACTTGGTAAGTTTAAATCATCAGCCTCATAAATATTAGAAATAAATATAATACCTGATCAATTTTCCGTATATAAAAAGAGAATACAGTAAACTGAAAAATTCAATTAGTATATTTTCAAATATTTTGGACTCGAACATCACCGAAGAGACATTAATAGTCGAAATTACAATTGGTACTGTTTATATTATTATGTACCCAGATTCATTTTTATGATTCAAAATTCTTTACCTAAAATGTCGTTGTGATGCAAAATTAACACCGACATATGTTTTGTATTTGGGTGTGGATGGGGTTTACAGAATAATGACCAAAGCACAATAATGAATAGAGAAAAATTAAGAAAAAAAAATGAATAGAAAATAAAAGGGTGCAAAGGTATAAAGAATAACTGCGTAAAATAAAGAATTAGGCAATAAAATACCGATTACAGGATTGAACAATGTACAGAATAAAAAAATCATCTGATTAAAGACAAATTTAGTAGTTTAACCATTTCATGAAAATTTTACAGAAGAAAAATGATGCCATAAAAATTTAATGAATACTGAAATTAAAGACCTCCATCTAGACCCTTTTGTATGACCCTAGAAATAAAATGCCAGTTGAATGCAACTACTAAAATGTAAGATGTAAAGTAGTTCTTGTATTCTTAAAAGAACGAAATATATAAAGGCATGTTTAACGATTTTTCGCTTTGAAATGTGATGCTCCATGTTAGCATACTCTAAGCGTAGTTTTATCTCTTAATATCTTTGGTTTTTATATCGTGGATTGCTTGTATTGACGTATACCATGAATCTCATTTTTAGTCTTATTCATTAGCACGTAAAACCGGCGCCCGATCCTTTTTTCATTTGTATCATTGATGCAATACAATAATTATATTTGTTTTTATAATAGTACTACTAAAACTATGCATACATTACTTTACAATAATATCTTCAGAAATTATATGCCACGACTTTTGAATATTTTTCATTATTTATATAGAAACGCATGAAAACCCGTAACGAGATACGTGCAGCAGTTTCCAAAATTAACAATAATTGTAAAGACTCTATTATCTATAGTTTTTATGTTACTTACACATGAAGTTGTTGCTGTTTCATCATACTGCCTAACTTTCGTTTGTTTTCTACCATGATAACGCGACAGGTTTCGAAAAGACTATATAAATGTTTAACGAGATTATCATTGTTTGTGTAATTTAATTACCATGCAGTTGCTTTAGCAATTCTGAAAATTTATTTCAGGTATAAAAAATGTTTGGACTGGTTTACATTCGGAGCATAATCATTTGGTTTGGGATGGCATCAGTCCCAGTTTAGTGAAGAGTCAGTCTAGGTATGGCTTCCACAAAACTATATTTAAACAAACATATTACTAGTATCTAGTTTAATACAGCAATGGAACACATTCCAGCTGTGATAACTGAACTGCCTACTGCATTCCAGCTGTGATAATTGAACTGCCTACTGTATATTACACATCGATATTACTATATTTGTTCCACTTTCACAAAACATTATTTAAGTTCAGTGGTATATACAAAAAACACAAAAGAACAACAATATAACTTTTTTTAAAGTCTTTCTCTTTAAATTTATGGAATAAATCGTTTGTTCATATATACGTATTTAGACTTAATTTAATACGCGGACACAGGCAAGAGCCAAACAGCTGTGTGTTTTCCGATGACTATAAATGAGATAATTCATACTCATTTAAAGACTAACATCAAGTAGGGCTTGGTGCCCTAAATTGTTCTGTTAAAAAACATCGTGTAGCTCGTGTTGTCCCTAATCTTTAAATTTGGCTCTCAAATCTTTTGTCTCAAGCGTACTTTATAAAAGTTATCCCAAAAATAATTCTTGTAAAAAGAAAAAAAAAAAATTAAATAAGAATAAAACAAAAAATCAGTGTTGTGGGCTTTTACAATCTGTGTCATTTGTTTATAATATTTTGGAAGAGCTGACAAATAATGTTTTAAGTTATCTTTTTTGATACATTGTTTATTTGACAAAAAATATTTCTCATTCGCCATCTACTGTTTTAATTTAACGAATACAACAACTTTGGAACAACTGGAACTGTATCTCACTAATTATAAAAAAAATGCACATTCTTATTCATTTAAGGTTTGAGAAATCTCCATGGAAATTCGATCAAAACTTAGAACACAATGGAAATCAACTTTGTGGCGAAATTGACATCCAAAATAACTCCCACATAATAGAAACTAAACGTAAAAGGCGTTCTATTGGAGAGACGCGAGAAAAGCGAGCACCAGAAGAGAAAACGAATCGCAACCTGTTTCCTAATTTTTTCCCATCCCAAACACCAACACCAAGTTCTAAAGAAAATATCGATAAAAATTTTCAAAAAGACTTTGCTCAGCTGAACATTGTAGATAGACTAAGAACGTTAAACAACGCACGTAGAATTATCAATTTTGCCAACAACAGACAACGAGGATTTTCAGATCGTCACAACAATCCGATATTAAATCAACGACAAATACAAAATAAGAGGTATCAAAATTCACAAAGAATTAGAATAAATCAGAAGTTCAAAGATCCTTCTATATCACCAAGCAATGTCAGACCTGTCAATAACCAAAGATTTTTAAGTTTGTTGAATATGTTACGCAGCGGTTCAACTCAAATACAGCAAGATAACACTAATAAGAATTCAGACAACATAAAGATGATGAATCAAGCCAAAAATCTTATGGAAAACACAGCAACAACTATTGCACCTCCAGAAGAAATAGATCGAACTGGGATTATGAATATGGAAAGCCTTCAAAAGATAGGAGATCTATTCAACAAACCAAAGCCTAGCGAGGATGATGATTCAAAACTAAAATTTGATAAACTCCAAGAAAAAATAATGACTACTTCTGATAATTTGCAATTTGTCTCTAATCTTAATTCTGCAATCAGACCAACCATGGAAACTATTTTTGATACCATTCAGAAAAGTGCTGATACAGATATTAAAAATCCACTTATTGGATTGTCAGAAGCCAACACTGGAACAGAAAAGAAGCAAACATCAATTAGTGATGCATTTGAAAAAATATTAAGTGATGACAAACACAAGATAGACATTGAAAACGATAATAAGAATAACCTCGGTATGATAGATTTTGGTTTTGGTATGCCTTTAGCTATATCAAAACAAGATACATCTAGTAGAGTAAATATAAACCAATTACAGAATCAACCGTTACCAGTTATACCTTCGACTCATTTACCAGACAAAGAAGCACAACCATCAAGTAATACCAATCTGAAAGTTATCAACAAAGCAATAGACGAAGATAAAAAGGAATTGAAAGACTCCAATTTAAAAACTGACGACACGAATTTTAATCCTGTCTTGAATCCACCACTGACCATCGTTAAACCCAACATACCGTCGACACCTCGAGATATAATTCCAAATCTAAGTATTGGTAATGAGGGAATACATGACACTAGTATATTAATAGATACAATAGAAAAAAATATCGGTAAAGATGAAAAGGAAAGTGATCTAGCATCTAAAACTGAACAAAACTATATTGGGGTTGATGAAACAAACAGTCAACCTGTTGACCAAGGAAAGCAAGAAGAAGTAAAACAAAGCATTGCAAATATGGGAATTAAAATTTCATCAAAAGAAAATCTAGACGACGATATTTTGCAACCACAAAACGAAAATCTAGGCATCATTAAAGAGGACCAAAAACAAGACAGAAAAGTAAATACTAAGACAGATAATCCCAACGAGAAAACTTTAACGCCACAGTCAATTCTAACAAACATAATAATTGACAAGGCCATTGCAGAAATAGACGAAGTTCTTGCACAGGATGATATAAATAGTGTGGATGTCACAAGTGCACCACATCCGAGTATGAATGACATTGCCACCAATAGGGACTATACTGATGAAAGCATACCCAAGTTAGAAAGAAAACTTAAACAGGCTAATAACCCACACCATAAGATTACTAAATCAATGAGGAGTACTACTGAAGCTAGTATTACCACCGGGACAGCTGTATCTAAAGGTAGTACTGTCACTGAAACAGGTGAAAAGGCTGTATCTAATGAAGGTTTGATAATACAGACACCGGAACGAGAAACAACAGATGATCAATTAGCAAACAAAAAGGGAACTAATATAAACAAAAATCTCTATGATAAGATAGTAAACGAAAAATTTGGTGGAAAAGTTGGAAACATCCTTAAAATACTGAACAAAATGAGTGAAACAAAACCAACTGAAGTGCCAGATGATAATGTTTTTGGTAGTAGCGTTGTTCAAAACATGATGATCAATGACAGGGAGGCTGCAAGTATAGCATACTTAACGACACCATCAAAACCTAAGACAATTAGTGATGTTCAATTGATACTGCCAACAGCAGAACCAAAAGCAGACGAAAGCACTAACAAACAAGATTTACTTTCCACTGAATCTTTAACTTTAACTCCAATCTCTCAAGAAGATAGTAAAAGTTCTCAAGATGTGAAGACAACACCAGAAGGTATTGCAATCATTGAGAACAAATCAAATGAAGACATAAGCACATCGGACACCAGTGTGTCTGCAGATGACAGTGATACTACAATAAATGAGATAATCATACCGATGGATGACATGATAAGCTCAGAGGGCGATACAACTCTCATATCAAACATCCAAGACGAAACGCTTGTTAAGTCTTTAAATACCGATTTGGAAGACAAAACAAAAGTTTTAACATTTGGTGATTCTGATAATATGGTTTTGAATGTAAACGAAAAATCCATTGGTTTGGAAGATATATCGATTAAACCTGTTGTTGTTGAATCAAATCTTCAGTCTTCTAGGCCTTCAGATTTAAAATCAGTGCTTGATGAGAAAATATCAGTACCAGAAACAAGTGGAACAATATCATCAGATGAAGATATGGTTGGTATTAATGAGCAGGTAGACTCAGGTTTTACAACTGTTACAGCGGACGAAACATCCATAGTAGATAAAGCGGGACTAGAAACTCACAAGACGGACGACAAATTGGAAAAAGAAGATAAAACTGTCTCTGATGGCAAACGTTTGAACATTGACGATGATCACCGTGTTAAAACATCACCAAAGCAATCAGATAGTCTAGAGGGTGATATCACAGTTACTAAAACAGATGATATCACAAGAGAAAACAGTGATTACATTTACACAGAACAGGCATTACCATCAGATGATAGTAATGAAGACGATACCATTACACAAACGCCATCTAGAACTGACAGTGATAAGGTTGTAGTAGAGACAGATGTAGTGTCTCCAGCTAATAGCAGTAAAACTGCATCAGAAGTTACTGATGTAATGGAAACAGAAACAACTAATTTGCCAGATGCTTTAGGAGATATAGAGGAACAAATTATGTCAGAAGTTTCTGATTCAACTTCATCGGAAAAAATTGGTGAACAAGTTTCAGAAGTATTAGATATCGACAATAATGAAAACAAAGATATTATAGAGAAAACACAAGACATGATTGAAAATATTCACGACTCAATTGAAGCAATTCCAGAAACGAACGATGGAGAAATAAAAAAATCGACAGAAGGTACAAAAGCAATAGAAATCGTACCAGAACTTTATGAAGACGTGATTAAAAAGATTGAAGACGCGAGAGACAATATAAGTGAAAGAACTAACGATATAGCAGACGAAACCAACGAAGCAATCGATAATTTCTCAGAAGATGACACAAATAGCAACGAGGAAGAAAGGCTTTCTAAAGAAATTGTATCAAATGAAAATGGAACTTCTGACGAATATCTATCGGATGAACTTGACTTGAGTGAAACTAATGATATTTCTGGCGAATATTTGTCTGACGAGCATTACTTAAATGAAACCGATGATATTTCTGACGGATATTTGTCGGATGAACGTGATTTGAGTGAAACCAATGATATTTCTGGCGAATATTTGTCTGACGAGCATTACTTAAATGAAACCGATGATATTTCTGACGGATATTTGTCGGATGAACGTGACTTGAGTGAAAGCAATGATATTTCTGGCGAGTATTTGTCTGACAAACATGACTTAAATGAAACCGATGATATTTCTGACAGTTATTTATCGGATGAAATTGACCTGAATGAAACCAATGATATTTCTGGCGAATATTTGTCTGACGAGCATGACTTTAAAGAAACCGATGATACTTCTGACGAACATATGTCAGATGATCTTGACTTAAGTGAAATAAATGATATTAAAATAGAAAGTTTTAATAGTAAACACGATATGAAAGATATCTTACAGGACACATCTGATGACGATGACATAAGTAAAATCATAGATAATCAAAATGACAAGTTCGACGAGCAGTTTAATGATACAGATGAAATTCTAGGAGACGATCTAGACGTAGATGTAGACGAAAAAGATAACGCAGCAAAGGAAATCGTCAGCGACAGCGATGAGCTATCGAAGGAAGTTGACATTCAAACAGATGAAAACATTTCGGATGAGATACTTGGAATTGAAAATATAACCCATAGTTACGATTCAAGTGATGAAATACTTGTTAGTGAGGCTGCAGCACAGGATGACGCAATACATCAGCGAGAATTTCGTGATCTTGATCCGGAAGAAGATGTCGAGGAGTTTGTCCCTCCAGAAGATATAGTAGAACATATACCGAAACGATCTGAAACTGACACAAAAATCATAGAAGATACAAAAAATCTGATCATGCGACTTGGAGGTTGTGACAAGCCAAAGCCATCTGTGTGTTTCACACAGCCAATTAAAGTGGACACAACAGGTAATTAAAATTTTTTAAAGTATTAGGCATGTTATCATTTGTTGCTGTTTTGACAATTTATGTTTTTTGATGATATTTGTTTTCTAATTTTTGATAGTTATTGATTTATTTTGTAATTCAAAATCTGTTCATTTATGTATAATGTAGTTATATATTTGATGTAACAGAACAGCACAAAATCTAAAAGATCTAGGATGACTTGTTCAGGTTTGTACACAGGAACAGATAAACACTTCCCCTAACATTCATTCACCGAGAACATCAAAAGAAGTAGAAATATATAAGGACATAAAACTCAGTATACCATCTATCAAAATATGTGAGACAAAAGTATGAAATGCATGTAATTATTATACAAGCAAAATAAAACCACAGCAATATACTTTATTTTCCTGTGTAATGTACTTATATTATCACATATACTGTTTTATTTCTTAGTATCCATGTGTGGAATTGGCTGGTACGGAAATGTTTTTGTTGACAAGTGTTTCCGGTACATATCAGAAGCAATGACTTTTACCTTTGCCAGAGATACTTGTATTCAGGAAGGGGGACAACTTGCAAGAGTTGACAACAGCTTTCTACGTAGATTTATATTAACGTCAGTGGCACTGGCAAGATACAATTCTAAAATTCAAAGTATGTCTATTGTTATTTGATGATAACATGCTAATTTGTTTTCTTTATTTACATGAATAGTTTAAAAAGATGGTAAATGCTGATTTGTTTGACAAAAAAGCTTTAAAGCAATTGAAATAAAAAAAAATCGAATGAAAACCAATCGTATTGTTATATGTTCGATGTATATTTCCGGATCAACCTTCATCACGAACAGTAAGAACCGAAACATTGTTGGAAAAACTAGAAAGTAAAAGACGAATTCATGCACGAAGAGCCCCCAAAAAAGTGAAAAGAGACTACACGAACAGCAAAAATAACCAGTTATCTACACGATTTGAACAACGAAATAAAAAAGTGTCACAAAGATCAAATAAAGTAATGTTAATGAATATGTGTTTTCCACTTACTTTGGCCATTTGACAAACAATTACTTTGGCTATTCGACATACAATTTGTTTCTTATAGTACCGTTTGGACACAATGTATGTGTGTTTACAAACAAAAAGGGGAAAAAAACCACAATTATATTATTGAAACAATAAAATAGAAATAAAAATATTGTTTAACGCTGAAACTAATTAGTAATGCTTTATTATATATTTCAGATAACATTATAAACGTTTGGATTCATAGTGAGTCTAACAGTAATCAGTGTCGTCAGTTAAATAACATAGGAGTGCAGAATGTTAACTGTTTGACGTTAGCTGAAGCAGTATGCGAAAGACCAAAGCAACAAATAAGTAAGTTGTCTGTTCTTCGCTATGGTATATATAGGAAGAGAAGAGAGGCAAAGGATACCAAAGGGACATTCAAAATTGAAATAGACTTTAAAAAGGAACACAATCATAAATGCACTTTCTGTTATTAGTTTATTTACACATTATAATGAAGAGATCAGCAAATTATCGATATGCAATATTTGCATAAACGTGATAATTGATTATATATTTATAGAAAAAAAGTAGATTTAATTTTTGTTAAAAGATCAAGCTATGATACGAATTTTTACAAAACAGTTGTTGGAAATGATTTAAACAAATATTTCTTTTTATATGAATATTGTCTTTTAGAACCATTCAATGAAGGTGACAATACTGACCACGACTTTGAATATGTTCAACCAGAGGTCAAACAGTTTAAAATGGAAAGCGCCGATAATAAATTGGAATGTCCTCTTAATAATGAACATCCTGAATTGCCTGTTATGTGGTATAAGGATGGTGTCCCCCTTAAACCAAAGATTACAAAAACATCAAAGAGTATCACATTCCCATCACTCTCAACAATAGGTAAGATACTGTTTACATACATTCTATGCTAGTATAAAAGTTCAATTCGTACTATTTATCCTTTTCATGTCCAATGACATGACACAGTTTACACCATTAAAACCCTTTGAACGATTTGTATTTTTGTACAAATATTTCAGTTTATTACTTTAAATGTACAAAGGCGTTCAATCAGTTACAATTTAGGTAAACATTCGTGCTAGAAACATGTGTTTTAATTGACTTCATCCAGCATCACCATTAGTTTATATACAATGTAATATTCATGTTTTGAATTAACCTAATTAAATCAAAAATATTTATTATATATATACTTTAAACTATTTATCATTAGATCTGTCATTTTGAAAATATTGTTATTACCGTGAAAAAATTAAGCTGCATAAAACAGAGGTTTGCAATTAATACAATCTAAAAAACATGTTTTAAAGAGCGATTACCTTAAACATCATTAAGATTTCAATTATATAAAATTCCGTAATCTTTATTTATCGATTATATACAGTTATGAAGGCAAACACGCATATTTCTACCTATTGCGATAATTGTGCGTTTGTTTTGTTTTGTTTTGTATTCTGGAAACAACACCTCTTGGGACAATATCTTCATAAGGCTTAGTGGTAATATGTTTACATGGAACAAGTCATTATTAATCACTAGATAACTCTTCTTAAAGCACAAACATAAATTAACTGCTTGTAACATAGAATAAATACAAAGAACCATAGCGTATTTTCCCCCAGATGGCCGACTAAGACCCCTTGGAACCTATAGTTTAAATCTCTTCCAATCATTCTTGGTAAAGCAATTATTTGATAAACTGGAATTAAGGATTTATGCTCAACAAATTGCTAACCTCCAGTGACCATTTGTATGCATAATTAGGAGAACCTGGACTGAAATGCGCTAAAAACGTGAAATAATAAAGGGATTGCTTTCAAGGCACACGATGTGCAATAGAACATTTACATTAGGTATAATTCTGTTACATTTTATATATCCCTTGGAGTAATTTTTTTTATAGCTGCCACTTCGACGTCAGATTTGTACCTTACACCTGACCTTTCACGATCACTACATTTCCGTAATACAAATGACACAATGGAAATACTACAAGGCAGGTATTGGTGTGAAGTATGGACAAGCAATCCATTTAAACGTCTGGAATCCAAACCAACACTCATTAGATACTCAGGTAGGTATCGTGAGAAATTTTCAACCTCAAAAGTCCTCGCTGGTGAACATGTCAATCAGATAAAATAAGGATTTTAAATGATAAATTGATTCTTGTCGTTTAATACTCTGAATTGTCCATTTCTGACGATAAGATGCAACACTTGCTTGATAACATCTTTTGCGCAGCTACATATATCAACTTGTGACTTTAAAAGATTCAGAAAATAGCAGTAAATCTATGGCTTCTTAAAGTTATGTCATTAAAGATTAATGGTTTTCAAAAGTTTCTGCTTGCGGCAAATTATGCATCAATTTCTTATTTTCCTCATGTTATAGAAAAAAACAACTATGAATTTACATTTTGAATAATTGTGTCTTTCATAAACAACGCGATAAAAAGATTATACAGCGATAGGCAATATGTAATACAGCGGTTATTGATGTTAGTTCATTTTAACCACAAACAAAAAAAAAATCTTTATTTGTTGCACTTATTCACTAACATACTAACATATTGAATGTTTTCTTGTACAATTTTGTTCATATCAGTATTGTTATTTACAGATGTTATGTCGTTTGTTGGTTTCCTGAATATTCATCCGCTATCAGTGTATGAACGCACCCTTTACAACATGATGAACGAAAAGTCTCTGTCAATCACTAATGTGGTGAAGGATCTGCAGATAATACATGACAGCATCTTGTCAGATATTCAATTGATTGTTCCTGAAGTTGTTATAATTAAAGTCAATCCAGATTTTGTTGAAAGGTAAGGATGACGATTAAAATGTTATACAAACCAGAGAGAAAGTCAGAATTAACCATTTTATGTAATTCATTTAACTAAATTATCCGAAACCGTATGAAAAACGTGAAAAAACATGAACTTTGTTTGGATTGTTTCAATCGTTTTTGAAAACTGTACCGATTATTACGTATTGATAACCTCAAACTTTGTCGTTTATTTACAAACAGTCAAATTGAAACCATAGGCAAAACATTTCAAATTATATCTAACCAAAGTATGAACCTTACTTAACCATAGATAGTGTAAAACATTATCCACTGCGATAACTACTTATTTGACAGCACCGCTGAGAAGACATGACTAAGAAAAGTTGTGTCTTGACAAAATTTGTGTCGAGTTGTATTGTATTGTAGGTGAATGGCGTTATTTAAAAGGTTCTTAATTAGCGAACAAATGCACCACCTAACTTACGGCTAAATCATATTTAATATGATTGATTTAAAAGAAATAAACGAGGTAAGATAATGAGATAGCGACCTGAAGATATAGATATCTACAAGTAGTACAGTACAAATACTGGTATATTAAGAATAAACAGGTTTATTTGTTTTTCCTAAATTGAATTGTCATAAATTAGACCGTTAGTTTTTTTACGTTTGAATAGTTTCACATTTTTTATGTCGGGTCTTTTTATACCTGACTACCTAGTATGGATTTTCTCGTTGTTGAAGGCCGAACAGTGAACTATAATTGTTTACATCCACGTCTATGTTTATAACTTTCCCATATGTGTATATGTCCGTTTTCAAAGTCTTCTGTCTCTTTAAAATAAAAGTTTTATTTTTTATAGTGGAAAGCCACAAAGGCTGAAATTCTATACACATGTTACCATGTCAACAACGTATACAATGGCAACAGAAAGATCAATTAACATACTGATGAGGAGGGAGCTGAGGGAGAATTTACAAAACACTTCATTTATGCTGTCCCTTCCAGGAAAAACACCAATTCATCTAGTCAGGTCATTAAAGTTCTACAGCACAGGTGAGTGATAAAATTATTTTTTTCAGATTACACCTTTTCAAACAAATTTCAAATTTTAAAAAATAAACATGAGTTCAACAAGTTCAGTCAGTTATTCTTTTTTATAATATTTCCAGTAACTAGGACAATGTATTATTGTTATTTATTTTAAATTTAGTTGCTTGTCCCATGGACGAACTAAAAGACAAAGAAACTTCACTAGTTGCGACCTTTCCAAGCTCAGCAACAGGATTAGAAGTCACAAGTATAGAAACATGTGGTAAGTTACACTATTTATCTTTTATCTGTAAACAATGTTAACCCTAAAGCATGCGAAATGTTCATTTACCGGATACAGACACATTTGTACATATAATGTTTAAAATTTATGTTCTATGTTACGTTTAAAAGTTTAAAACATTTATATATATATATTATTTAACATCTACACATGTTGTTGGTGGTAAACAAAAAGCGGAAAATATACCAAACAGGCAATCAAAAATATAAGTAAAAAAAAAAAAAAAACCCAGTTAACACAAATATAGTATATTTTTAAAAATATATCATTAATCAGCTCATTATTTTATTCGATGTACATAATCCTAATAAGGTGTATAAAGTAAAAGACATTAATTACTTGATGTATTGCCAGTTACTGCAGAAACATCATTATGTCACTACCTCCTAAGGACCTGATTACTCATGCGTTAGTTAAAAGAAAAATCCTTGGCATACACCAGTGTTTGTTTAAAAATGGTACTCTATGTTGGAGCATATTTGATAATGTGCATTATTTTATTACACAGTAAGTTCCTTTCATCTTTTTGATTAAATGTGAATTTATCGATACTAATGACAATACATTTTCATTTATTACACTTTGCAGAAGGAGAAGTTGCAGGAAGGGCAAAATGTGACGGTGATTTCGAAACAGGGGCCCATTGGACCGACGTTCGAGTTTTTAAAACATGTAATAATGGAGATGATGATAGTGAGAACACGGATTCTTCCTCAGAAGAACAAGACGACGCCACTGTTATGGGTCATATAAGTAGAGAAAGAAGATTAAAAGAGCTAGCAGAGGTCTGATACTAATATCATAAAATACGTTCAAGAGTAAATATAAGAGATCTTATAAGTGACTTTTGCTTTAGTTGAAATATCCAGACCAGATTAATTCATATATTTTGAATGAGCAGGAGTGAATTTTGCATTTTAGTTTAAACATATTTATTCGTCATCATTACAAATATATCATCATACAAAAATACACTATAATAATAGGATTCGGAAACAAGCTGTACATAACTTATATTAATCCGTTTCCGTGAAATACCAACTCCAATTAACGTTTTCATAAACATAGCATGCAATGTTATAATGATATGGAACAAAAATAAATAGTTAATTACATAACTAAGAAATAATATATATGCATTGTGTCTACTCAATATACTGTTTATCGTGCCGATGCAGATTTTACTATTATATTTTATGTTCTTCAGTAAAATTAAAGTATTTAATTTCTAATAATTTCTAAATTCCTAAAGGTTGATGTTGAAGACGACAATGCAGAAACAGTAATGGAAGAAACGGCAGAGATAATAGAAAATGCCCAAGAAATCACCGCAGAGTATGTCGACTACATAGCTGAAATAGTGGACAAAACTGCAGGAGTAAAGAAAGCAACACAAATGGTAAATCTATGCTTTGCTTTCGTTAAACTTATTAAAATGTGGGAAAATTCTCCCATTTACTAGTGCAATATATCTGTTTAGTTTACTACAGAAATTAAACTCCGACAGTTCTGGTATACAGAGATTCAATTTATTTCGAGATTTCTTCATATTAGTAAAGTCAATTAGATTATTCAATCCTAAGATGATAATTTTTGTATGTTTTCAAAACTTTGATAAATAAGGGGAGATAACTCCGATAGCTTTATGGTTTGAAAGAGTTTATAGTGATTCAATATATTTTGTAAAACAGCGCAATACAACTAATATATCAATGAACAAGCGTTTCTTTTGATTTTTTTTAAAGTATTTAAAACAGCTTATTGTAGCATATTGCATGTAAAATTTGTATTATCTAGATTTTTATTCTAGTCATTAATTGTGGTCTTCTTTTTTATATTGAATACGATATGATACTTTGTACAAACTCTTTTGCAAACAAGATCTGTAAAATATTCTTTTTATTATATATTTTTTTAAATCATGATATATAACCTATCATACCAATATTTGTTTATATTCTTATAATTCTTTAACAAAAAAGTTCATTTCCGTTTCAGTATTCATTTGCTTTATTTAAGAAATAAAAATGATATAATTAATCCGTTTGTGATTTCCATTTTGTTTTTCACATTACAAGAATAAGATTTTATATTGCTCACACCAAGGTTCCAGGTTAGAAAAGAGGTAAACTTTAAATAAACAATTCATATCTTTTCAGACAAGTGAAAACATTGTTAAGACTGTCGATAGACTATTAGATATTGATGATGATGAGGTTAAGAAATCGACGAAGGCCAATAGGTATGTAAAATAAATCCTTTAATATTCAAATTGCTAAGAAATTGACTTCAAATTTGAGACACGATTTTTGAATTACCTATTTTAAGAATAAGACGATATTGGATGAAACGTCCATTGAAGCACAAAGAAAACACGAGAAACAGTTTAGATCTTTCAGGTGTTAAATTGTTCAAGTTGTTTGAATACGTTCCGATAATTTACATTAAAAAGAATATGAATTGTTCGAAAAAAAGCAAAAATCCTAAATACCAATAAAGAAGCATATATCAAACAAGGACTCTTTTTACAATAGATGATTCGTTTCCTTCGATACTACATTTGGGTTCTTAAAACTTTCATCTGAGTAAAGATATTAATCACTCGGTATGAGAAAATTAAAATTCGAATCGCCTCTACTGTGGTAACATAGTATGACAATGGGACACATAATGATACTTTAGTTATAATATTCTGACTAGAATTTCTTCTTGACAGGTTGTCTTTTTTGCTTTATTTTCATGCATCTCTGGTTAAAAGTGGTCACTAGGTATTTGTCGTTTCGTTTAGTTCCGTAAATTTCTGATGAGTTTTAATCTTTAGGAAAGCGCTGCAGGCAAAGTTTTGGTGTATTCCAAGTTGACGTTTCCTGTCATATGGAATACTTGGTAATTTGAACATCTTACACGTAATGTTTTACAAAAGAGATATACTCTGCAAAAACTCATTAGCTAAGCAATGTGTTTTATATTTTTCAGTATTATAAAAAGCCTGGAAAAAGTGGCAGGAAAAATGAATCTTGACGTATACGGACAGTTTAGAATAGTTACTCCAAATGTTGCATTAGAAGTGTGGGATTTGAAGTATCAGAGCCTTCCTATAATAGGTTTAGCTGCTAAAGAAGATCAAAAGAAAAAAGAATTCGATGAAAGTCATATCATAACATTGTATAACAGATCTCAAGTTTACTTTGATGACATAAATGCCGCTATTGAATTACCACCGGAACTTGTAGAGGAAGTGATGACAGGTATGTCAAAGTTGAATTTAAAGTTACGGAAATATCACTTATTCAGCATAGAAATAAATTCGTTTCATATGAAGTGTGAATTCGTAAAACAAATGTGAGGATTTTATATTTTATGATTTTAATAACGAAACTTGAATTGAGCCTCAATGATGAGCCTTTTGTAGACGAAACGCGCGTCCAGCGTACACAATTATAAGCCTTGCATCTTTGATGAGGTTTTTGACTGCTTTCAATCACACGGTTGTCTGTCTGTATCTCGACATAGAAGGTTCGATGTGACGTTACAGTTTTATATTCGTATAATCCTTTCTTTGCATCAAGCACTAATAACAAGTGAACAGTTTATTAATGTTTATTCCCCACGTAAGAAATTTTATTTTGAAATGCATTATTGTAATTGCATTTTATATAGAAAACTGATAGATAAATACATATTTTGATGGAAATAATTTTAGAAACAGAATCTCGTTTGTACATGATGGTGTACAGACATGGCCGTTTGTTCCAAACAATGACCGAAGCACAAGAAAACCTCGAACAAAACAGAGAGGCACAGTTTGTTGATGACAGTGGAACTTTGAACACCTTTGTAATATCAGCTAGTATTGGTGGCAAGAAAATAGAAAATTTGAAGAACCATGTGAAAGCCATATTCAAACCTCTCAAGGTAATGCTTAAAAACAAATTAGTATGAAAGGTTAATTTACAATTTTTTATGTTATTGCTACACAAACATGGATTTTTGTAATTGCATTATTGGGGTTCTTGTTGCTCGGTCTTAAGTTTTTTACGTAGTGCGCTTTGCAAAATGTTGTTAGTCTCTTAGTCTGTTTTCGATTTTTCGTTTATCATGATTTTGTCAGTCTCTCTTTGACCTATGTGTTTGGTTCTCCCTTTGGTTTAATTAGGTATAAATTGGTATACTTTCGCCTCATTGTCGTGTGTATGGATGTTTGGACTGTTATCTAAATATCTGTTGTTTGGTCAATATAGTACTTACAAATTATTTTATTATTTATTATTCTAGACTGAAGCATACTTTATAACTTATTGAACAGTGTTTCTTTTATAAGAATGTACTAGAGACAATCCTGTTTTTCTTGAGTCACATTTTAAAGACAAATACATATGTATATCTAAGTATTAATTCCAAAATACTGGACATTTTGATGAATTTATTGAATTAAGATTTCAACAGATAGCAACTATTCCTGATTCTATGAACAAATCTTAAAAAATGTTTGTACTGATATGAAACATAATTAGAAAATGAACCCAACAGAACGACCAAAAGAAAAACAAATATGTCCTCTAACTTATATTTAGGATGTGTAATACTTACAATCATTTTCCTTGAATATTCACATATCATATAAAATTACATTCCATTAAAATGAGGATTCATCATAGATACAGACAACTGAAAAATCGAAAAAAAACATGACTATTTCCCTCAGTTTTTGTTGATAACCTTCATTGTCTCTTTGTAATCGATTGACAATATTTGAACATCGGTAAACTAATGTCGCCTTAATCAAATTCCTTTTGTCAACTTTCCATACGGCAGGTAGTTAAATACATTCTGCCCTAGCCAATGGTGTGTAAAATCATCAGTTGGTTCAATGTAGATTTCCCTTAATGAGCTTAAACTCCTAATACAGAAAACGTATGTAGCAAGGTTAGAGGAAGGCATGCAGTACCGCAAGAATTTTTCTTATCTGAATGGCGACATGGTAACTCAACACGGTCGATGTTATCTATCTGACATTACCAACTGTCTTGTAGGGTTCTACCTGGTACTGAATTGGATTTACAATCGCACGATGGGTAAATTATACTCATATTTATACTCAGCTAAAGATGGACCATATGTTGATCGTTGTAGTTTGTCTTTGTTTGTACTATTTCACGAGGGGTCAGTGTGTGTGAGGCTTGTTGTACTGGCTTATATATTATTGATGATTCCTGTGTTTCTAAATACGTATTATTACCCCGGTTTAGTTCATACTGTTACCACTGTTTTCACTCGAATGTATGTCTGATTATATTTAAACTTATTATATTTCAAGTGACATCCGTCTACTTCTTTTGTATATTGTTGCACAATTTAGATACGTATTTAATTCAGTTCTATGGAATTTTCTTGAAAGACATATCACATGAAGCTTACGAATGAAATCTGTACGATATGTTCAAGTAAACTTACTTTAATTTAATACCAATTACCAATTGTTTAATTCAATAAACAAGTCATATAACATGAAAAATGTTGCTTTGTATGAATTTTAAGTTATCGCGATAAGTATTCAATATAAATACAGTAATAGCGTGTCCATACAGCATGTCAGTTTATAAATAGCATAACAGAATGAGTTTGATCATTATTTGTGTATTTCAGGACGCTAAAGGGAAAGAAAAAACGTGTGCCCACTGGGATTTTACATTAAATAATAACCGTGGAGGATGGTCAGCCAAAGGATGTGTTTATAATGGAACTGTAAATGGGAGAGATGTCTGTCTGTGTAATCATTTGACTAATTTCGCAGTTCTTATTGTAAGTTTATGGTCGATGTAAATGTATTGTCAGATATTCAGATAACTCAAAACAAATTTGATCCGTAATAAAAATTATCAAAATCTACCTTTGACTGAATGACATCAAAAATAGCTGGAATGATTATTTAGTATTTATTTAAAGCAGGACACTATCAGGTACATGCATTATTTATTTTTACGTTCCAAGACAAAACAACGTTGAAATAATATTTAATATTTATCAAAAACAAATAACCATCTGCTAAGTAAACTTTAGTGTTAACTTTTGTTTTTACATTCCAGGACTTTTATGGTCAAGCAGAACCTATACCCGAACATCATGAGATATCTCTCAGCATTATTTCACTGATTGGTTTAAGTTTGTCTATCTTAGGATTGTCTCTTACAATCATCTCATACGCCTTTTTCAGGTATGTTAATAATGTTTGATCATTCTATTGTATGTCTAGTTAAGACAAGAGTATATGTTTTATATTGTCAAAGTATACCCGACATTTAAACCAATGTTTCCTTTGTCTAGAAACTCGACACCTTGCAAGATGTTTTGTCAATATGAAGACATCAGTTTTACCAAACTATTTGTTTTTCTTTATGTTCAGTTTTTTTAGTTTTCAAAAAATCACCGTTTTCGAAATCCTCTTAATTTTGTCAATTTTATTAAATTAGAAAACAATTTGATTAACAACACTCCATGAAGATTTAGCATATTCTATAGCAAAATGACAAATGATCAACTATTTGGTCAAGTATCAATTTTCGTTAGTGAAGAATCAACACGACGTTTCAAGTCACTTTCTGAAAATGAGAATGTTATGTTTGAAGTTTGCACAGTGTAGTTCTAATTTAACGTTTTAAAGTTAGAAAAAGGTAATCATCAGAAATGACTATTTGGTAACAGAATCAGTCTAAATAGTTATCAAAGGTACCAGGCTTATAATTTGATACGCCAGACGCGCGTTTCGTCTACATAAGACTCATCAGTGACGCTCAGCTCAAAATAGTTAGAAAGCCAAACAAGTACAAGTTTGAAGATCATTAATGACCCAACCGTGCAAAGTAGCTAGGTTCTGTAATCCTCAATCTTGGTTTTCATTTAAACTTTTCCTATTTTTGTTGTGGGGGTTCCAAGCCAAAACATGAATCTAGTTAGGAGCTGGGGTGTAAACTCAAACAGTCCTATTCACAAAAAATCTAATTCTTTATATATTGTTAACATGCATGTAAAATTTAAATGTTTTGATTTGGGAGGAGATTTGTACATGTTATTAGCTTTAATGATATCTTAACATTAGCGATAGTAACGAGTTTCTCAATTTTCCTTTCTAAAAGTTCATACTTCTACTTAGCACTGAAAATACGGACATGTAACATTTTTATGATATTAATATAAATAATTTCATTTATTACTTGCAGGAAGTTACGACGAGGACGTGCACAACAGACATTATTTAATTTGGCCCTTTCGATGTTGTGTTCTTGGGTTGTATTTCTAACTGGTATTCGGCAGACCCATAGTTTCTATGGTTGTATTGTAGTTGCCGTCTTGTTGCATTACTTTATCTTATCATCTTTTATGTGGATGTTGATGGAGGCATTTTTGCAGTATCTTACATTTGTGAAAGTTCTCGGCACCTATGTCACTAGATATAGACTAAAGACAGTCCTTGTAGCATGGGGTAAGTTTAATGTCAAGGTCACTAGACTTACACATCGCATAGTAAAAACTAGGTTCTACTGGATTGTTAATATATCTACTTTTTGTGACTTTTTATTTCATAAATCAAGCTATTATGATTAATATCTTTGTCATGTTTTAGGACGAACGGATTAGTTGCTATAAGTTCAGTTTGGTCAAATGATTTATTTTTGTCATTCCAGGTCTACCCTTAATTCCAGTAGTAGCTGTATTAAGTATAGACTACACTCTATACTCTGGTGGCAGTCGATAGTATGTATACCATTATTCTGTTTTGGGAGTCCATGTTCTATTTTATATTCATGATCATGGTCTAAGTATAGAACACTGATAAAGCAAAATAACAAAACATTGTGCATGAAGGGTTGTCGTAGAAGACTTTAACAGATTGAACGAAAATACTCTAACATTGTCTAAGGAAACAATATATCTTTGCAAGTGCTAAAATTCAGATTAACTATCTTTGGATTAATTCAATGTATAAATTACTTATATATATCGCAGAGAAATTGCTAGAAAATAGATGTATGAATAACAACATAAAATTATGTGACTATGTTTTAAAAAGCACTTGTCATCTTTTTTGTTTAATCATACACCCGCTCTAGGAGAGCGCAGATGTTGCAGCTCAATCACTACAAATTACGAACTGTGTTACAGCCATAGAATAAGCAGACGAGAAAATGCATTAACCGAGTGACTACAGCTACATGTTTATAATGCCTAGGTATCCGACGGATACAATGCTGGTGATATTGTGGTTGATATCTCAGCAGCTTGAGTTCAAATCCAACCGTGCGAACAATATAAATTGACAAGTGCAAAAATGCATTTCTAAAATTGGTTTGTGAAATTCAAAACGTAAACGTAATAAATATGTATGTACGTCTGTATGTATGTTTGTTAAATAACTTTTATTATTCAAAGAACAAATTCACGTTTTTCTTCTCGTAGAAGCCAGAGTTCAGTTGTTTGCAGAAACATCACCAAAGTACATGTTAGATATAGTACATGTTAAATGAAAAGTTAATACCTACGTAATAGTGTGTCAAACTTTTCTGTATTTAGTTTTAAAAGATTTTGAACAATATGCATATTCATTTTTGTTGGGTTTCTTTTTAGTTGCTGGATGTCTTTAACAGCGTTCTATTACTCATTTGCCATTCCCGTTGGGTTAATTATATTATGTAACCTGACAGTATTCGTGGTAACGGTCATCAGTATATGTAGAAGACCAACTGGTTTACGGACCAACCAATCAAAATCAAAGATGGCAATGGCAAACTTACAGGCGGCTATAACAAGTTTTGTTTTGCTCGGTATGTGTTTATATTGTTATTATCTTATCAAATTGATTGAAGCGTATATTCCGCTATGCATTTTTGAATCTTTTTTGTGTAGTTGCGTGAGGTAACATAAGACAAAAACATATATCATTGCATAGTTATGGTTAGTTACACAAAACCATCATAATTGATCTTGATATTTATTTGAATTAAGCGAGATACTAGAGAAAAAATATATATTTAACCTTTACTGAAATCTGTTTTCTTTTTCTCCATCATATAATTGCAATCTGACATATAATTTTATATCAACATTTCTAAAATCAAAATATTTACTTTTCAGGACTGACATGGTTTCTTGGTTATCTTGCGATATCCGACGCTAGACTTCCATTTCAGTATGCCTTTACTATCCTTAATTCATTACAAGGATTTTTCATATTCATCCTATTTGTCTTACGAAAGAAACGTGTTCGAGACCAATGGCTAATTTTGTGTTGCTGTAAGGTTCCAGAACAAGAGAAAGCATTACGATCATTGTCAGCGTCAGGTTCAATTCCTAGTACCGGAAGTGGAAGGAGTAGCTACAGCGGAAGAAGCGAAAGATCAGACAGTACAAGAACAACAACAAGTTTTGTAAATGATTCATATGACTCTTTATTTTTTCCCTTCAAATCATCAAGACCAACTCTTTACTACAGAGAAAAGTCAAACAGTATAACTAGTGAATAATATGCGTTTGCATTTGCTTCTTTGTACGCATGTTCACTTATGATTGTATAGCGTTGGTTATATCTTAAAGGCAGGCATGTTATGGTATAGGAATGTATAGAAATGTGTTTATCGAGGTAAAACATGTGATATAATAGTGATACTGTTACAGAATAGTACACTCAATCTTATTTTTGCCCTACTTTGTATAACTTGTATGTGTGAGAAAAAAGTTAAAAAAAATATTTAACAACTGTCTCTTGTGATGTTGCATTCTCATTGGTGCACTTTGTGGATATATAAACTTGTATGAACTTTTAGTGCTAATATATTCTGATATATTCATCACAATGATATTGTCTCATGATAAAGAGTCGTCTCGTGTGGTCTCTTGAATATTCAATTGCACTCTGTAAATATACAGTTGTCGCCCTGTAAATATAAAGTTGTCTCCCTTTGAATTATTTAAACATCATGTTATTGTAAAATAAGACAATTTAGACTGTTTATACCTGCATTCTTGTATCAATTTGAATAACAATTTTTGTTTAAATTGCAATTAATTTATTATTTTATTACCCTTGTAGTTGTGAATGTGATATGACAATAAAAATACATATTTAAGTATTTTATGTATTAATAAAAACCACTTCATGCTTGTAAACAACCATTTCACTTTATAATGAATGCATATACAACAGACTGCAGAATACATTAATGTAAGATTGGGTTTAAAAAACATATTTTTTTCATACAAAAGAATATAAATTTGGTGGTTATCATAGAGTAGTAAACACTGATAGTTCATAGATTGATTAAACACTTTATAATGCTGTGTTTGAACAAAGTATGAAGATGCCAACGGGAAACAAAAAACCCTTCGTTGGAGAAAACAGGCAACTCCATGTCCAAAAATGAAAACACAAAGAGAAAATAAAACTAAAAACAGTACACAGAAATCTAAAGATTGTGTAACACAAATCTCATTAAACACCGCAGAAAAACTGACGGAGTTGCTCGGGAAGGTTAAGCAACTCTGGTATCTTTGATGAGTTTTTACGACCACTGTGTCGATGCCACTTCTGTGCTGACATGAAATGTCATTGATATGTTATTTTCAGCAAATTTACAGTTTATAAAATGTTGAATTATTCGAAACACTAAAGTTTTCTACCCTTTTAATATAGATTGCCTAAGCCATTTTAGGCACAAACTTTCATATTGTTTTGTTTTTACTGCTCTTCAAATTAAATTTAATTTGGCTTTCCAACTCTTGATTCGAGTCCCACTGACGAGTCTTAAGTAGACGAAACGCACGTCTGGTGTACCAACTTATAAGCCAGTTGTCTCTGTTGAGATTGTTTAACGCCCAACCAATTATGATTGCGTCCTTGGAATTTGTTAAAGATTGAAATCATTTTAGAAAGTAACCATATGTTTACCGGCATTTTAAATCAAACACGTGATACATGAATATATCTTTCATGAAAATTAGATGAATGTATAACTTGGTCTTATACTGAATATTGTTTAATGTAAATTTCGTGGTTTCATTTTTTGAATAAGTTAAAACTTTATTTTGATTGTTATCAATTATAAAATAAAACGTCAACCAATAAATGATTCTGTTACATGTGCTAACTAGAATAAACATTTAATTTTCAAACAAAATCTGAAAACATAATATTCTGTTTTATACATAGAACTCCGTCACCATAGTCCAAAGCGAAATAACAGCGCCTTTTTTTGCTGTTCTTTCTGCAAAAAGCGTTTAACATGTTATCAAAAGCTCATACATAGCTAAAAGTTGAAGCAGACACTATCACATGTTAAGGGTAATTCGTTCTAGGAAGTCAGTAATCCTACATATGTGTATTGGATAACCGATAGAAACGGGTTAACATCAACGAGGTGGCAAAAAAACTGGAAGAAAAATCTGACAATGATTGAAATAATGTGAACGACAATTAAATTGAATAATAAAGACACTATAAAACCTTTCGACAACCACGTATACATCAAGATATTTTTTAGACAAGTTTGACTGGACATAATGTATGACTAGGAAAAATAATTCGGATGGACAATTTTTCGTTAACTTGCAGACCAAAGGACAAATGAAAAGTTATCTTAAGAATAAATACACCGTCACTATAAAATATGAAAGCATACACCTCAAGCACTAGGAATCTTCCCTGGCGCGGGTCCAGCTATTTTAAAAGGGGAAGAGTGGTTCCGACCCCCGGAATACTATGAAAAGTTCGCATGATTAAAAATAAATAAATAGATTTTTCAAAAAATCGAAAAAAGTGAGGTTCTTTACACCGGGACACCCTCCCCCGGGATCAGCAAATGCTTTATCTTTCTGCAATCTCCACACTATGTAATGAAAAAAGGAGATACGAATTTTCACCTAGTCAGCCAACAGGATGGAGCCTCTCTCAACTGTAGCCCGCTTGAAATTTCCATGCACGGTAGATAACTAACTTTATTTATTTTTCCACTAGAAAGTCATGCACGACTTCAGAACGTTTTCTCTTGGTTCTTTAGATATTTATTGAAAGCTGTTATTTAAAAGTAGATTATATGATAACATCACCCTGTCATTGAAAAGTTCATGCAGATTCAATAAGCATGATGCTTAATATTCCCTTTTCTGAACCACTTCTGTATCTTGGTTTACTGATTTACCCAAAGGTGTTATAATTGCATGCCTACCTGTTTATCTCAATTTTATCAACTTCTTTATAATGGGTTTCAGATTGGCTTTTTGCAATGTTCTCTTTTTTCGATTCTATGAACTTAACGTAATATTGCCGATTCGACGTTCGGGTGAAGGTGGCAAATCTAGACATGATTACCCACTTAGTATCTTCTCTTTTTTATCTTTGTTTCGTTGAATTTATAATCAAATGATCAGAAACGTGATCCTGTACATGATCGTGAGTTTTCAAACAGTAGAGAAAACCAGAGGACATTTAAGTACAAACACCAATGATCTTACACAATAACCATTTTAGTTGTCATTCGGTATCAATACACAAATTGAAATAACTTTTCCAAACTCTCAGGTAGAGTTTCAAATTAATTATTGTTTGTATCAAGATAACCGGAACATAAAAAATCCAGTGTAAAAAACACAATTTTATAAACTGAGCATACGAATAAATGGAGACGTGGAATTTACGTCAATGAGACATCCACAAATAACCTAAATACATCAAGAGGGCAGAATACAGTCTTCTGAAATCATGCAATATGTTTACATAGGTTGAACCATTTCATCTCTGAATTTATTTCCACTTGGCAAAATATCAAAAAGTATTTTAGTCTTAAAAGTTTACTAAATTTTACAGTATCAAGGCTTGTGTGTATATTGTGACGTTCTTTCAGCAGCTTGACTCATATCTGAATCAAATAATCGCCAAATGTTGCATAAAATGAAATTTTGAAAGATTTTGGAAGAAAATAAATAAGACAGACATTCTGGCCTTTGTTAGTCTTGTGTGTGTTTTTTTAATTTTAGTTCATTTATATGTTTTGGAGTTAAGTATGACGTCTATTTTCACTGAACTAGTACACATTTTTATTTAGGGGCCAGCTGAAGCCCGCCTCCGGGTGCGGAATTTTCTCGCTGTGTTGAAGACCCATTGGTGGCCCTCGGCTGTTTTCTGCTCTTTGGTCGGGTTGTTGTCTCTTTGACATATTCCCCATTTCCATTCTCAATTTTATTCTTAACCAAACCACATTTTCCTGGAACTAAAGTATGATATTGTTATTTCGATGTTATCAATTATAAATTCATGTTGGTTTACATTGTCAATCGATGCAAAATTGTACAGCAAAAAAAATCATAAAAGCAAAAGTGTATCAATATTGTGTATCACATAATTTTTTGGATATAAGTGTTAATGCAAAAGCATTTGCAAAAAAAAAACCGTCTAGACAGAGTATTAATCTTGATTCGCTGTCAAAATAGATAAACACGGGTATTTTTCAGACAACAGATCACATGGACAGTATTGAATAGAACAAACAATGATTTTCAAGTATTTTGTTTATTTTCATACCATATTTGTTCCGTTAACGTTTAATTGTTACTGAACCTCAAAACTGTCAACTTCCAACAACATACCAAGCTTTGTAATAAAATTGTCAGGAACTCCGTTCTATAGTTGCAGCTTTGTTTTATATATACTGAACACGGATAACATTATAATGTAACACGTTAAAGAAGGGTACAGACGCTCTTTTGGTGAATAATTGTCAAGTGTTTGTTTTCTCAATTATTAGGTGTGCATTTTATAACAGACTAACAATTACTAAATATTGTTGGCAGTTTTGTACACAGTAAAAAGCAATCATAATTCTATAGAAAACAATAAATACTTCTAGTGGTTGTGCTGCATCGACAATATAAGTTATAATCAATAGGACAGCCCTGTAGAACACCGTGTTTAAGTTATACTTTTTCAGAAGAAAATATCTGTTTAGCGTTTCCAAAAATACATGTCTTGGTTTTTGAAGGAACAAATTATACTTTGTTAAAAAGAAACTCGGATACAAACAAGGTGTTCCTTGAAACTGACATCATCGATATGCTTGATTATTTGATGATTGACAGCATACTTGTGATGTTTGGAGATAATGTTTTTTTTTCAACAGACAATCGACATTCCTACATGAACCAACCGTGCTGGTCTTGTCGATTTGTTCTTTTGTTCTTGTGAGGCATTCATATGAATCAGGAGATTTTACATTAACCTTTAACTATAGCCCCTGCTGTGGTCAGTGTATTACTTGCTATCTTTTTCATACATCTTCCAAATTCATTTCTTCTTGTTTTATGCCTCAAATAACAGGTGTAAAATAAAGTAAAGTAGTGATTTTGGCCAGTTCAAAAATAAGTATCTCTGTAGCAGTCAAACAGAATGCGGGACCCCGAACATAAAACTGTCTATATTTAGAAATAGAGCTGATGAAGGTTTCTATAATTTTAATATTATTTGTCCCAAAAGTAGTACACCACACTGTAAAATTTATTAACTGGGAACGCGCAGGTGCGATATTTGAAATTTGCATTTATTGTCTGAAAGAAATGCACTACGAAATAACTGTGTTTTTGGGTTAGATATAGTAAAGTCGGTCTGATATCTTGAATTAAACAAAGATGTAAATGTTTTTGGATACCCTTCATTTACAAAATGTATCATGTTTTCATTCACATAAAGTAAAATTGCAGAAAACCCCCTCCTTAGTTATAGATTTGTAAATATAACGTTTGCGCTTTACAATTGCTAACCCTTATCGTTGGAGTGATCAAATTGCAATTATGGAGCGAATAAACTCATCATAGATACCAGGCTTATAATTTTGTACGCCAGGCGCGCGTTTCGTCTACACAACAGACTCATCATTGACGATCGAATAAAAAAAGTAAAAACGCAATTTAGATTTATAATTGCGAGATTATTTGTTGCACATATCTTGTTTTTAGAAGATACTCAACATAAAGAGACAATATTTATATTTTAAATGAAAAAAAAAGGGAAAAACTAATATATATAAATGAATGGATAATAGTTTCACCCTTTGGAAAGGTTACGCCTTTCGTTCAAATAAACTGCTTACAAAAAAAAAGTGATATTCATGTTAGCGTGACGCATTTCCTTGTAATCACTATCGTACTAACTATATGTGGTTAGTGTTATTGATGAATAACATAAAAACTATAAACTTTGGATAATTATTTTTATATAAATGATTGAAATGCAGACCATCCCATAAATGACATGTATTATATATATAGCTATATACCCTTTCGGGGCATTCACCTCAAATGTGACATGTAACTAATATTCTGTTAAGTCAGTGTCATGTGACACACCATTGTTCATAATAAAAAATGGTACTTGAAATATGTTTAGTTTATATTATCAGATAAAATTAAGGGATAAAAAATGAGCTTTGAGTCTAAAAGTGCTATTTTTAAAGATGTGTCCCGAACACTTTAAAAGAATGAAATTAGGTCCAATTATATGAAACCAAAAATTATTTCATATGGTGCCTAGAGGTATACATTTGTTCCGTATCAAATCTTGTGCTATTACAAATAAATTTACAGGGTGACTTTAAAGAAATGATTTTTCAAATATTAAAGTTAGGGAACTATGAAAGAATTTAAAACTGGTCAGTCTAAGTGTGTTAACTTTAAAATCTAGACCTGTACTAAAATAATTTACAAATAATAAGAAAGAAAAAAATGCAGTGACTGTCCTGAAATGAAAGATTAAAAACAAACTGTCTTTTTTTCTTGATTAACCAGAGTTGTAATTAAATTAAATCGAGAATGGCACAAGTAAATCAATACTGATATGATATCTTATCTAAAAATATTAGGCCATCTCACAAACTTATAACGGCCACGAATATGACCGCTGGTTTCATTTGTTATTTTGGTTGATATAGTGTAATGTTTGATTTTGTCAGGTCTTATGGACTTAACCCTTTTTTTATTTACTTAGGATTTCGGTATTTTTGTTAATACTTTTCCACTGTTTTAACCAAAACTTTGTTTAAGCAACATCATAAATTAAAAAAAAGACAAATAATTATTATTATCACCATCATGTGTGCAATGTCAAAGGTAAATATATATGTACAGAAAAGAAAATAATATGAAAAAGGTATTGTGGTGTGATTACCAATGAGACGTCTATCAAACAGACCAAATGACGTAGATGTAATCAAATATAGAAGGCCATCGCATGGCCTTCAAAAATAAGCACAATTCATACATTATAGCGAGCTATAAATACCAACGACATGGCAAAAAGTAAATATGACCTATAGCTACCAAGGGCAACTTCTGAATTTTATACTCCTGACTTGGAACAGAGACATCCTGAACGCGGTTGAGTTAAACATGATTATGAGCGCTCAACCCTCCCGTTACCTGGAACAATAGTATAACATCACTTCATCAGAACAAACTATAAAAATCGGTTGGAAAAAGGATTGACCCATCAGATCGATACTAAAAAAAAACTAACAAAAAGACATAAAACAAAGTACTCGTAGTTGCTGAAAGCTGATTCAAATTCATTTCCAACTTAATAATCAGAAATAAATTCGAGTACATTTATCATGTTTTTTTAGACTAAAATGTCTATCAGTACACAACTAATGTATTTAATGTTAAGACGTCCTAAACAGTCTTAGGAAAAGATATTACCTTGTTCAATGTCAGAACATATCGACAGGATCCGCAGGATGTAGACAAAAATGTTCATAACTTTATAGCCATACATATTCATTTACATTTCATTTGATGAAGAAAAAAACCAATGTTAGTACCGATGAAGACAATATTTAAAGAGCTTACTACAATCTTTTCAAAGGACCAATTTACATGAATCGTATCTATATTGATGGGCTTTAATAAACAGCATCTTCAAAATCCCGTTTGTAATAAGGTCGCTACAGGTACATTCAAACTTCTAAATGAAATCTATGTATCCATGAAATAATGTAATAAAGGTTTTAAGTAAAATGTGGTAACAAAATTTCTGGCTAAATGATTTACAAGTTTATGGTATTTATAGATTACGTTTATTGTTATCACTACAGTTACGGGCGTGGCGTACGAGTTTGGAAATATACACCCCATAAGAGGACGCCAAAGGAATATCACTGTCCAAAAATAAAAATAAGAATATGAAACAAAAAATCGTATTTTTGTCGTGAAATCATATATAGTATTCCGTGTGAAAATTAAATATTAAAAATCTAAAGAAGGACATAAATAGTTGTATGTATTAGATTTATTTAGAGTCAATTCCGTTTGGTAAATTTTCTCAGTGAACTTACAATTATTGATTAACACGTCAAAAGAAAATTATCGAGGTAAAACGTTAAGTGTTTTTCTATAAAATGGAATTTAGGCGAACCCTGACTGGTTGTGTTCATTAACAGTAATTCATAACAATACAAAACAACTCACCCATTAAAGGGGTTAAGTTAGTGTCCATAGGATTACCAACAACATGTCGATAAACCTTATTACCGAAACGTACAAAGGTGAAGCCAAGGAGAAAATGGACAGCTCTAATCATTTCAACACAATTCCTGTAAATGTAACTAGTTTTTTTTATCCTTTTTCATTTAGATGAAAGTTGACGCAAATACATTTTCAATAAGACTTTTCATAGGACCAGTGGATTAAATGAGAAAACTTCTGTTTAATTTATAAACTTGTGTGGAAGTGAAGTGTAAACAGTAAAAAATCACAACTGTCAACCGATTGGAAAGGACCATCAAAAGCACGTAGTTTATCTAAAACGTCCATAGAGTTATTTACACTCCAAACATAATTAATACCATTATTTTCATATTCTTTGTTACAATACTTAATAATGAATTCTTTAAATGGAGTCAGTGAACTATTTAAAGACCGAGAAAGGATGTTCAGTTTATCAGACAAGGATTCATAGCGGTGTCACTCACAATAAAGACATATTATGTTCTTTACATTTATAAAAATAACAGACTGAAAATAGAATATATCATAATGCGGTAAGCTACGCTGTGTTTTTTTGTTGGTTTCATATGTTTGTTTTTATCAATGTGTTTGTAGCATGGATTTTTTTTTTAATTTGGCTCCAAAGCTATCATTTGTTGCTCTTAAATTTTGTTTGAATCTATCTCATAGTTATACATCACAATGTAGTTGGTGTATGATCTATGCACATGATAATAAATTAAAACGGCATACGTAATGAAAACCAATGTACAGTATTTGTCTCCAAACTTATATGCCTATTTTCATAAGACAGCTCGATCAAAATGTTTAAACAAACTTAAGAAGATTCCAAGGCTTACCACTTACAATATTTAATTGAAAGTTAAAAGCTGTCTGAGAGGTCATCCTTTCAGGAGAACTGATAACGGTTTTTTAAAAGGTAAAGGTCAATGATCAAAACTAGAACTAAGAAACAAACGCGTACAAAACTGTACAAATTCCGTTATCATGTTACTTAATATATTCCAAAAACTTTTGTATTAATTATCACTTGTAAAATCAACAGCATATAAATATGAATTAACTGGGTAATTTCCCTTGTTATCCAGTGACTAATTCACAGAGATACTCGGCCAACTGCTGTAGGTCGAGTAATTTGTCATAACAGAGAGAAAAGTGCAAAAAAGATGTTTTAGATGAAAAAAAACTAAACATTATTTTCATATCATTTGTAACAAAACTTAATAATAAGTTTTCAATTGTAAACAGTGAACTAGTTAAAGATCGAGAAAGGATGTTCAGATTATCAGACATAGATTCATAGCGGTGTCACTCACCATAACAACATATTATCTGTATATCTATAAAGTTGATTGAAAAGAGAAAATAACATCACCATCTAAGTTACGCTGTGTTAATTTTTGGTTTTTATGATTTGTTAGTAATTTAAAAAAAAATATAACCTAGTTTTTTCATGAGTTCCAAATTTGGTATTAGTGTCATACATTTTATCAACTCTCTTGAAGTTATCATTAAGCAGACGACCTTATCTTACGAATTCGTCACATGTCCATCGGAAGATCATGTGATGACCAGGTATATTTACGTTTACCTGACATTTGATTATTTTCTTTTATTTATATCATTCTATTAACCGCCCTCTGAGGACAACAAATTTTCGCGAACCTTAAAACTATCAATCAAACTTAACGATAATCTCTGTAACAACACAAGAAATAAATAAATGATTAAATAGATAAAAAAAAAAGGAGAAAAAAGAAATAAAAATTTCGTGCTTTTCAAACATTTATCTTACCATTTCTTTTCTGTTGATCACGTTTATTATGTGTTCTGGTTGTATTTAACGTTTAATGGACTATAAATGTTTCAATAACAGTTATTGGACGTACGTAATACATGCAACTTGATTTTGTTTTAAACTATAATATCTTTATCTTTTCAAGGGAAGATGTATTAGCTCCAGTTACGTTTAATTAAACGTTAGAGACCGTGAATTAAATTTATAATTTCCATAAGAACATGTGATAAAAAACGAAAATACCACTCAATATATTTTTCCAGATTTACCTTTATCAGGAACACTTAAACGTATATATTTGAAACCCAGGAGAAAAATGTCAAAAGGATCTAGTCTACAAGTACAAATAAAAGCTGTCATAGCAATACTATTTTAAGAAAAAATAATCACCCCGTACAAATTTACCAAATAGCCATATGTTTCCGTCATATTTTGACGACTCTGTTTACAAAATATAGAGATGTGACATGTTTGCCAATGAGACAATTATCAACCAGACACCAAAGTATGAGGGTATAAACAACTACAGGTCACCGCACGGAAAAAAAACTATTCCGTATAGTACATGTACATATAGTATATAAAAGGTCCCGGTATGACAAAATATGAAACATTTCAAAAATAAAATCAAAGGCCTGATTTATGCAAAAACATTCAAAGGTGTTCCTTATAAAAATACATTCATTTTACGCAATAAACTCAACTATTAATTAGTAATTGTCATATAAGATGTAATACATGTAGCATCATTGTCTTAAGACATATACATATTGCAGTACAATGTCACGTGATAAAACATGTCAACTGAGTCATCCATCACAATTGGTGTATCTGTAAAATTAACCAGAAGTGTATTTATTGTTATAATTTTTGTAGGAAAATGTCTTGTTTGTGTCTAGTTTGGACTTTATTTTTCGTGTTCCCTTTCATACAGGTAAGAACGGCTATTCATTTAATTTTAAGATGTTGACGACCAGACGAAAAGGAACTGATTATCTTTCTGATTTGACATTATATATTTACATTTTCTAAAAAAACAAAGGTAAAAAGAGAAATTCATAACCACTTCCTACAATGAATGTTTTTTTTTTCTCCGAAAAAAAATCTCTGACATAAGACGAAGTAAACATATTGTTGATTTGAAGCCCAAAGAACAGTTCTCAAATTGTTATGATACTAACACTTAAAGTTTGGTTAAGCAACGTATACACGAGATTATTATTTTCTGAAATGCTAAACGAAAGCTTTTTGAAAAGAAAATGTATACTTTGCGTTTTTAATATGAACGTAGACTAGTCGTCTTCATAAAAAAAATCATTATAGTTACACAACAGACACACAAGAAAGTAAAATGAATCGGAATTGAAAATCAAATACAATATTTTACATTTGATTTTGGGAGTTAATTTCGTCGTAATGATCTTATTAAAGCTCGCGCCATGCCGAAATAATAGATTAGAATTGTGAAACTTTGATATGAAATCTAGTAAAAAATTCGAAGACTTCTTTGAAATGAACTTGCTGAAAAAAAAGAAATATTGATAATTAATTTAAAGGTTCTGCATGCTGGTCTCTTAGTTTGACATAGGCATATACATTATAAGACTCGTTACAAACTAGGTCTGGCATTATGAATACGAGTTGACTGGTACATCAGTTGAATAGCTTTGTCTGGAACTGTATATTTAACCTTGGAAATTCGCTCGTATATAGACCATGACTTTCATTTACGTAATGGATGTCTGAATAAGAAACGACGGTTGTTTCCTACCTACATAAACTGGCTATTATCATAGTTCCATTTTATTACTGTGGTCAGATTGTGCTGCAAATTTTACAATGCACAGAAAGAAAATTTATAGAATAGAAAGAGAATGGAAACAGGAAATGTGTCAAAAAGACAACAACCCCATCAAGGAGCAGAAAACAGCCCAAGACCACCAACGGGTCTTCAACGCAGCGAGAAAATCCTGCATCCGGAGGCGGTCTTTAGCTGACACCTATACAATAATGTATACTAGTTCGGCGATTTGAACGCAACACTAAGCTCCGAAACATACAAATGAACCAAAATTAAAAGAACACACTAGAGAAACACTGACTTGGGACAGGCGCAAAACTGCTGCGGGATTAAACATGTTTTATGAAGTTTTTTTCATCTTTGTTCTTGAACAGCCATACGTTTTCTTCATAGCTGATAATTCCGTCTAAAAATGGTAGCAGGATAGACCAAATATTGCACCACAAATCAAAACTCGTTACAAAATTTGATTGATTGCTCAGCCCATATACCCCGTGAACAATAACAAAGATCATTATGGTAATTTTAAATGTTGACATCAGGAGACTCCAGTATAATATAATTGTTATTCGGACTTTACAGGGGATACTCCCTGTCATTGCCCTATATCCCCTTCGTCTGACGGCTCATGGGATGTACAACAATTACAGAGAACATGAATGTATGTCTCCTGTGAAGATACCGAATAACATATAACATCGTTATTTGGTCTAAATTATGTAATTAATATAGAGCTCTATAGAGGAATTTAAATTCTACTGGCATGTATTTCACAAACCAGTCTTTATAAAGAAAACAAGTAGGGGAATTATCCTTTAAAGCTTTTGATTTTGATTAATAAATTATTTCTTGTAATGTTTGAGTTAATGTGATATTAACCATCCTTCAAGAAAGACTTCATGTTACAATTCAATAGATTTCATTGTTTCCTTATTTAGAAACTGGTATAATTTATTACAGAGAGTTTATATTTGGAGACTTCATATATTATCTCTTTAGATCAAAGACAAACAATTTACAATATTCCATAATTAATGACAATATCATACAATGGCAATTGATCTCTGATTTCAAGACAATTAATTGTGCAAGTCATCAAGTAATAAAAGTAGTCATCGGAAATTAGACTACGAATAAAATGAGATGTGGGGTATACATAAAGAAACAAGAAAATGTACAGGAAGAAACATAAAACAAAATCAAAAGACAACTGTTAGTTTTAAAGTTAAAAGGTCAAAAATCACTTCAGTTGGTTCGGATAATTTTGGTGGCTCTAAAAATATAGTTGGTAGAATAAGAAGGTTTAAGTCCTTAAAATGTTTTATTCGTCGGTCAAGCTATGACTATATAAAAATAAGGAGATGTGGTACGATTACCAATGCGACAGCTATCCACCAAAGTTTAAATGAAGTTCAATTATAGGCAACCGTACGGCCTTCAACAATGAGGAAAACCCATACCGTATAGTCGGCTATAAAAGGCCCGAAAATAAAAATATGAAACAATTCAATTGAGAAAACTAACGGCTTAATTTATAACAAATCAATTTACGGAAAAATAAGTATGACAGACACGAACCAATGACAACCGCTGAACTACAGCCTCCTGACTTGGGGCAGGCACATAGAGAATGTGGCGGGGTTAAATACGTTTGAAGTCGCCAACCCTCCCCTAACCTGGGAAATTGGTGTAACGGCACAACATATAAACAAACTATAAAAATCAGTTGAAAAGGGCTTAATTCATTAGATCGATACAAAGCAAAAACAAAAAAGAATGTACTAAAAATACAGACCAGACGTGGCAGGAAATTTATACATCCCTCACAACAAAAAAGACACAAAGTACAGATCTGAGAGTACTCGCAGTTAATGCCAGCTAATCCAAAGCCAATAACAACTAATTGAAAAAAATCATGTACAATGTATCTAAGACTTTTAAAATATCAATCAGTACGCATCCAACATCCAACGGATTTAATGTAAAGATGTCATTAACAGTTAGAGAAAACCATGACCTTGTGCAATGCCAATACATAGGTATCGACACATTGTAGAACCGTGTGCATATGTGTAGAATAGTAATATTTAGTATGGTTTTAATTTACTGATAACAAAGTTTACATTTATACCAATGAAAACCATGTTCAAAGATGTAATTGCAGTTTTGAATTGGTAACATTGTATAATAAGTTTATTTAAAGGATTGATAAGTTTACCCAGATCGTATCTAAATTTCCGGGCTTCGTAAACAACATCACCGCAAACATTAAGATGTGCTATTCCGTTTGAAATAAATTTTCTATAGGTACAGCCAAACTTCCAAACCAAATCTTTGTATCTATGGAAGAATTTAGTAAAGATTTTAAGTAATTTGTGGTAACGAAATCCCTGACATAATAATTTACAAGCAATACATAGATTATGCTAATTGAAATCAAAACGTCACTACAGACACAGACATAGTGAACGATTTAGGATATATATAAACACCGTAAGACGATGCCAAAGGAACAATTAACACCGTCCAAAAAAGAAAAATTAACAATAGGGAAGGAAAAATCGTCGTGAATTTTTTTGTGGAATTTCTCGTGTAAAACTTAAGTATCTAAATCTAGGAAAGGACATTTATTGCTGTTAATATTTGATTCATTCAAAGTAAGTTCCCCTTTCGGCAGTATAATTGAATTCTCGATTATTTAACGAAAAAATATCATCAAGATGACGGTAAGTGTTGTTGAATTTATCAATTAAATGTAATTTAGACGGGTTTTACTGAGTTTGGCCATAAACTAGGATTTATAACAGTATAGAAACAGGTCTGATATTAAAGGGGCACAATTGGTGCCCATAGGAATACCTACAACTTGTCGATAAACTTTATTGCCAAAACGTACATAAATGTTGTGAAGGAAAAATTTACAGCTTTAATCTTCTCATCACTCATTCAGCAAGTATTTCTAGAATATTTGCCTTTCTCATTAGAGAAAAGGGTTCTTTTCATCACGCATTCAGTAAGTATTTCTAGCATAATGATAGTAGTTGAGGAACTAGTTAAATGCATTGAAAGATTAGAAGTAGAACAAACACTAGAGGCCGAGATTAAAAGATATTTTACTTGCCCCGGACCTTCTTATGTTCAGAGAATGCCTTTAGCTGATTACGGGTTAAACTTTAGACTTTATCCCATAAAAAGATTTTTAAGAATCCTACAGAGGAACTACAGGCAAATATATACAAAGACGTTTTGATGGCCGCCAAACGTATCATATTGATATGTTGAAAACATCAAACAGAAAAAAGTACCACAGTATAGGAAAACTGGAGGTAAAATAATCTGAAATACAGAATTAAATCTTTAAAAATACCGAATTTTACTAATATAAAAATTGGCAAATCATCTCCTTTCAATGATTGATATTTATTATTTTTTTTTAAATGAAATTACAAAACAAAATTGTATAGCTCAATGTCCATGACATTACCAGTGTTTTATCCTAAATTAAAAAAAAAAAGGAGATGTAAATGTCATTCTAAAGATTAAACACGATGATCGATATCTAGTCCAACTTGACATAACTGACAATGATGTTGTTAATTTCTATGTTTTTACTATCTTAAGTAGATCAATATGTAACATTTTGTTTAAGGCATCTTATTCACCTATGTTGACCCCCATTTCCTGGTTGTTAGTGAAGATCACCTTATATTGAATATTTTTTGTTGAACGTCTCTCTGTCTCTCTCTCTCTCTCTCTCACATTTGTTTGTCGTTCAATTTTTGTTGACGGGTAATAATCTCAGATGGGATTGTTATTATAACTTCAAAATATACCTAACACTATATATCACCAGATACATGTACTAGATATGATTAAATCGGAGCATTAAATTTGCGCGCCTTTTTTATTTACATTTGGGCGCATTCATTTTACAGGTAAACAACAATTTCTGTAAATGTTTAGACGACACAGGTTCTTTTTTTTTTCTCTAAAAACACAAATGAAACTTCTTCTCCTGAACTTTCAATAACTAAATGTAGATCCCATTTTGTAGACCTCGATATTAAAAAAAAATCTCCATTATACAAAATTTTATGCCAAACATGATGGGATTTTTTCCATTTTATTATTGT